TTTGCATTGGGCAAATGGACGTAGTTTGCGAGTATTGTGGTGCATTAAAGTTTTCCGGAGAAACCCCTGGATTATGCTGCCTTAATGGTAAAGTGAAATTGCCATTGTTGACTCCGCCACCTGAGCCATTGTATTCATTGCTTTGTGGCGAAACACAAGAATCACGCCACTTTCTTGCAAATACACAAAAATACAATGGTTGTTTCCAGATGACGTCATTTGGGGCAGATATTATCGAAGAAAGAGGATTTAATCCGACATTTAAGGTATTTATTTTTGTACTTATATTGATATAGTTAAATACTTTATCTATTGATACGTATTTAGTATATTTGCTAATTCTGAACTCTACTCTCGGATCGATAAAAGTGTTTATAACATAGTTAATACTGTCTGGTTTTTATTTTGTAGATACAAGGACAGATTCATCATCGAATTGGATCATTACTACCTTTCGAAGATACACAGAATAAATTTTTACAAATATATTTCATGGGCAACATGGAAGAACAACTTGATCGACGCCTAGAGATCAATGCAGGAATGAAGCGACCAATTCTTGAAGACTTGCAGTGTCTGCTTCATGAACATCATGCGTTGGTCAGGTTGTTTAAGAGTGCTTTAGAGCGCATGCCAAGTGATGACTATAAAGTTGTCATCAAAGCAGATAAACGACCATCTGGAACACACGAAAGGACATTTAATGCTCCAACAGTAAAAGTTGCTATCCTGATTGTTGGTGAACAATTGGAAAAACGCGATATTGTGCTTACACGTCGCGATAATGGTCAACTGCAACAAATATCTGAAACTCATCGATCATATGACACATTGCAATACCCGCTGATGTTTTGGCAAGGAGAAGATGGATATTATTTTAATATTAAAATGAAAAATCCATCGAATGGTGAGTATCAATATTTTTGTAATTTATTACATTTATTTGTGAAAGACACTGATTTAAAATAATGCTTATTAAAAAAATGGTTAATGTCTGTATTGTTTGCCTTTAAAATTTGCTTTTGAAATGGTTAATTATGAAATTTTTAATTTCAGGTGAAGAAACTACAAAAAAAGTTAGCTCAATGAATTATTACGCATATCGTTTGATGATTCGTCAAAATGCTGACAACTATTTGCTGCGGTTTCGTCGATTGTTTCAGCAGTATTGCGTTGACGTGTATGTAAAAATAGAAACTGAACGTTTAACATTCATTAGGTTGAACCAAGCCAAACTGCGTTCTGAGGAGTACATCCATTTACGTGATGCAGTTAGTACTGAAGGAAATGCAGTTAATATTGGTCGATTAACTATTCTGCCGGCGACATACATTGGTAGTCCACGTCATATGCATGAATATGCACAAGATGCAATGACATATGTTCGTCATTACGGTCGGCCCGATCTCTTTATTACTTTTACCTGTAATCCAAAATGGATAGAAATTACTCAATTGCTGCTTCCCGGACAAACATCAAGTGATAGACACGACATCACAGCACGTATATTCAGGCAAAAAATTCGATCCCTGATGAACTTTATTGTTAAACAACGCGTCTTTGGAGATACTCGATGCTGGATGTATTCAATCGAATGGCAAAAGCGAGGCCTCCCGCACGCACACATTCTTATTTGGTTAGTGGAAAGAATTCAGCCTGACCAAATAGATGATATCATATGTGCCGAGATTCCTGATAATGAAGTCGATCCAGACCTACATGATGTTGTTACTACTAATATGATTCATGGACCGTGTGGTGCCATCAATCCGCAATCACCTTGCATGGTCGATGGAAAGTGCTCTAAACGATATCCACGGAACGATACATAAGCTGAGCTTGACGTTTGTGTGACTATATTAGTCTATGATAAACTATTGTCTCTGTCTTAAAAGTTCAGTTATTCTTTCAAATTGTTTGCAAAGAGTAAATTTTGTATTTTTTTTTGTGTGGTTTTGTACGAGTAAATATTCAGTTTTACTATTTGTGGCCGGAGTTATAAAAAAAAAATACCTATATAAATCATTTACCATTTCTTAGTGTAATTTTCACATCGGTTTTTACAGGATAATTTGTACTGTGTGTTTTTTTCTGAAGTGTTTGTTCAACAAGGTAAGTCAAATTATTATAGTGTTGGGAAGTTTTGATAGACCTTTTTGATACTATTAGAAAAGAATAGGAAAAGAATAATAGTATTTTTTATTTTCAGTTGAATTTTTGTTTCAAAACATGCCGGCAATTAGACGCACAAACTTAAGTCGCAGAACCCGTAATGCCTCAAGTCAAAGATATAGAAGAGCAAGTCTAACTGATGAGCAACGTGAAACGCGGAATAAAGTTGAACTGAATCGATGGAACCGAAACCAACACTATAGAAGTGTTGCTTTTAACCCCTATAGAGCTGCATTTGATTATAACAGAAATGGACTACAGTACAATAAATTTTATACCAACTTTTAAGGTAAGTGTATTGAAAAACATTTACCACTATTGTTGACAGTTTTCAATTGTAATGGTGTATCATTTAAAATGGCTTTAAGTACATTTGTTGCTCTGTGAATTACTTCAAGTAGCCAGAAGGAATTGTGTTAAAAAAATTGATGGGGGAAATGGTAGTGCTCACAAAGTATTTTGAGTGTCACTTGGTGGTTTGAACAATTCACTTTACAATATGTATTTGTAATATAGGAATGTTTATCTTTGCAGATTCAGGACAAATATATCATTGAACTTATTAGTTATTACCAGTGCCGGTCAGTGACTATAAATTTTTCCTAATTTATTTCATGGGCGATTCAGGAAGACAAGTTGATCAACGTTATGCACACAACTATTCTGTGAAAAGACCAGTTGTGGAACAGCTCCAATTATTATTCCATCAATACAACCCATTAGTTGCATTATTCAAGACCGCATTAGATCACACGCCATCTGATAATCACTAAATTGTTATCAAACACATAAGACATTTTAATGCCCTAAGAATCGATGAAGTCGCTATTGTCATTGTGGGTGAAAATGTAGATAACCACAATATTGTTTTACACCGGTGTAACAATCAAGTGCAGCGTGTGTCCGAAACACATTGACTATATAATGCTTTACAATATCCTATCTTATTTTTGAAGGGTGAAGATGGATATTATTTTTAATTAAGATGATAAATCCAGTTACAGGTAAATAAAAATTTAAAGTTTTTAACGTTTATCATAGCTTTAAGTAATTTATAAAATTTTATATGTTTTTAGGTTCTGAAACTAATAAAAAAGTTAGTTCAATGAATTATTATTCATACAGACTTATGGTTGGAGAAGTTGAGATCAATCACATCTTAATATGTTGGCATCTCTTTCACCAATATACTGTTGATATGTATGTAAAAGTAGAAACTGAGTGATAAATGTTTTTCAGGTTGAACCAGGCAAGACTCCGTTCAGAGGAATAAGGAAATTAACTTCATTCAGATAAAAATGCAACAGATATTCTTTGATTATAGGGCGATACGAAGTTCGCCGGGTCATCTAGTAAATTATAAAAGCATAAATCCCATAGCTTAACAATAGAAACAATGAAATTAAAATTTCATTTTTATTGACGTACAGAGAAAATTTCAACCATTATTATATGTAGAATAAGGGGATTATTTTTCTATTGGTAGATTATATTAAAGGCACTCTTAATATATTACAAATCAATATTTAATTATTAGTTATATTTAAATTATAAAACTGAAATAGTGAACTAAACCATTATACACAAAATGTACGAGTTTTAAACACAAAACAAACTTTAATTAACTTACGCAAGGGTTTAATGAAAGAATTTTCATTTAAATGTAGTTTTGCCTTAAAATCTTCTGGAATATTCGAATGTGACATCTTTGGATTCCGAGAAGTTATTCAATTATTTGGGAAATAACTAACTGAAGCAAATTGGTTTGTTTTCAAATAAAGTTGGTATGATCGTGGTTATGTTCAACAAAATCTTAAATCGCATTGTATAAAGAAGTAGTCTATGTGATCAGCTATTAATTTAATTTACATCACAGAGAGTGCGGTATATCATTTATCAGTTAATAACATAGTCTCTCATTTCAAATATTCTACTAGTAGCTCTTCTACTGATAACTTATCATTTAAGTATAGAGAATGTTGACATAAAAAGTAATGATAATAAAATTAAAAGACAATAATTTGACACTTACATCTTCTCGTCTGCCCGTGATCACGGTTGCTGTAAGGTAGCCGAAACGAGCCGACGCGAAGGGAGTATGTAGTTTATAGTCATAAATAATTTTTAAAGTTAATATTTGGTTCAAAATATTAAGTTTAAAATTATTATACCGTACCTACATAATATTAACATTCCAATACTGATATATTTTTTTGACTAATTCAAATTTTAATGCATAAACTGTACATTTGCAAAATGAGCTCATTAATGTATTTCTGCTAATATTATTTGAATTTACTTTAAAAAATCATACAATAAAACAGTCGAACACATATTTTGAGTAATTTATCAATAAACTATAGCTATACATAATATATACATACATATACACAACAAAATCTATTGCATAAGTAGTCACTAGTTGTACTTACCTAAGAAACTAAACCACACGTTAGCTTTTAAACCTACAGACTTTTGCACTTTATTGAAGAAATACACAACACACAAATAAATTCTTACTATACTCTGTAAATGTATATTGGTTAATGTTTTGATTGATAAAAAGTTTCTTTTTATTTATATGACGCATTACAATTAATTTTTTATTCTAACTCAGCTATCGTAGTTTAAGTAATAACAAAAAAAGCATCAATGAAGGAAAGTTACCATAAAAAGTAATCAGAACCTAAGTAATTACCTACATTTTAAGAGTTACTTATGAAAATATATTGGATTTGATTTCAGAGCTACGAACTGCAATATAAAAATTGATACCATTATATTTTAACACTTTTTGTCTCATACACTTCTATTTTTTCAATAGTAATTCATCTCAACTTATGAACTAAGCTCTTTACTGAAAAAACACCAGCAAACACAACACACAAGATCGCTAATGCAATAGACATTATTATCTCAATTTCGTAATATTCTGACCATTCTACTGTGGCCGCTGGGGTACGCAAATGTTCTCCTCCATATTTTAAAACATATTCTGTCCACCAAATAGCCTTTTCCAACGGTTTTTGAGGTTGATCATATAAGAAATTACGGAGTTTCACTATATTATTTTTATAGCTGTAAAATAAAATTTGTTAAAAAGTCAGTTAAGAGTCATCATTTCATTTTTGTTTATTAACATTTGAAAGGAAAAACTGAAAAATATGATAATAAAGTTATTATATAAATATATAACTATATCTATAATTACGTTACCTTTCGTCGTTTACAACAGTGTCTATAGCTTTTCGCATCGTTTTTTCGTCGAGTGTATTTATATCTAATTGGAGTCCTATTTTAAATTTAACATATCTATCTACATTAAGCCACTGATCCCACATCATTGGAATACCGATCAGTGGCACTCCAGCATCGATAGCTTCATGCGATGACTGCAAACCGCCTTGAGTGATGAATAATTTTAGTTTAGGGTGATCTAGAAATAGACAAAGGGTAAAGGACAAAACACATATAGTATCAAAAAAAACTACAAAGAATTTGAATATAAAATCATACGTAGCACATCAGTTTGAGGAATCCAATTAAACATTTTGATATTTTTTGATGAATACATATCAGTTACACTGTCACTCTTCATTAAAATGTCATATGGTAGATCATAAAATACTTTCATCATAATTTCTATTTTTTCGGGTGTGAGTACACCTTTATTAACATTTGTCCCGAAACTCACATATATAACTCCATTTTTCGATGAATCTAGATACTCTTTCAATTCCTTAAACAAAAAGTTATATTTATTTATATGTATATGTGTAAGAATAATTTTATGAATATTTTCTTTTATGTATATATATACATATACCTTTGGTAATTCTTTTCTTTCATTTTGTTTTAACTCGCCGATGTACACCACATTAGGCGGAACAGGCCGATTAGCGTCCCAAATATGATGTATGTTTAATAATATTAGAGCAATATTATGTTTTAGTTTGGCCATTCCTGGGGTATCAGGACCAAAATATTCCTTAAGCAATATATCATCGGACTTTACAGAATCATAATAAGTCCACATAAGGTAATAATGAGAAAAATATTCCAACAATCTATTCCACATTGTAAGACCTTGAAATCTTTGTCTTGCAGGTGAAGGGTATATTAAAGGATGAGTTGAAGCTCCTATTGCCTCAAATGTACCATAGTTTCCACCGAATGAACTAATTTGTATAGCAGGCGCTTTAAATATATATGAAAATATTAATGCTTGTGCCGCTGTAGCTTCCACTACCACTAAATCGAATTTATGCACCTTATCGTTTAAATACTCATTTAGTAAACCAGAATCAAAATATTTTTTCATCAAATGGTATACAGCTTTAATACCTATTGTCTGTTGTTCTAATAAGCTATTAGCTTTTTCTAATTTCAAGAACATTTTAGTTCTCTCTTCTTCGGCTGGCCCATTTATATCAATTTCTGTAAGATTATCAGGTAATTCTTTCTCAGAAAAAGCTGGGTATGGCGTTATGACGGTAACTTTGTGTCCACGTTTCGCTAATTCCTGCGTATATGGTCGGAATGTAACTTGATGACTATATGAAGGAAGCGGAAATACAGCTAATATTCTAGCCGATTCACATATCCCAAATAAAACAAAAATATGAAGCACTTGTAAAACTTTCATTTTATTAAAAACTTATTTTGCGGATTGAAATTACAATCAATTATGTGTCACATATTACACGGTTTATTTTAGTGAATGCACTGATAAAACTAACCAGTACAATGAGATGAACATTCCATAACACAAATGCAAACAGAAACAATTACATATTCGATAAATATTTTATCTCTTTATTTATATTGTATTTTATATAATTGTTAAGTAAAAATACATATTATTTTTTAAGATATAAAGATTTTACAATGTAGTGTCTTACAAATTAAATAATAAAGTATTGTCCACTTATATTATGCAGGTGTAGATAATGATGGCCGAAACAAACAGTATTTCTGTTCCGAATGTTTTTTATAAACGCGGTCATAAACAAAAGCATTAATGTGGTGTTTCATCATTCATCATCATTTAGCCTATTGCAGTCCACTGCTGGACATAGGCCTCTCCCAACACGCGCCATAACACTCGGTCCTCTGCCTTCCGCATCCAGTGAGACCCAGCGACCTTTTTAAGGTCATCGGTCCACCTAGCTGGGGGGCGTCCTACTCTAAGTTTGCCGAGACGCGGTCTCCACTCAAGGACACGCTTGCTCCACCGTGCGTCAGTCCTTCTGCAGATGTGACCAGCCCACTGCCACTTCAGCTGGCTTATTCTATTATGTGGTGTTTATGTACGATTAATTGAGCATATGTCTTGTTCAATATTATTTCTAAATAGATTTTGGCTACCCCATTCATAGTTTTAATAACATAATCAATGTACTCAGTGTCTGCTGTAAACAATGTAATCAATGTCTGCTGTGTTCATGTGTGCTGCAAAGGTACAGAAACGTCGGCAGTATATTATGGTTTTAAAATAATTAAGATCCGAAAATCTTATTTCTATTTAAATGAATAATTATTAAAGTCTGAAATATTATTATGCTTGTATTTTACTAAGAACCACATAAACTGAAATGGTAGAGCCTAGCTCTAGTCAAGTTACTGCAGCTCGAACATGAGTCGGCTTGACCGAGAAAGTAGCACCCACTAAGTGCCAACACATCAGCAAATCTATGTTGCAGATGTCCATGGGGACGGTACTACCTTCATTTGCTCGACCATCTCGGCTACCCCTCTTAGTATAAAAAAATGTGCTAACTAAGCACGTAACGAAAAGAACACCACTAATAAAGAATTAATATTAATTTAATATTTTGTGTAACAAAAACAGAAGCACTATTGAAATTCTTATATGTTGAGCCTAATTTGTTGTTATTTTCGTCTCTGTAACAAATAATGAAGAGTATGATATTTCATTTTTAAGAAAAGTAAAAACGAGAAAAAAGTGTTGAAGACCGCGAAATAAAAGTTGTAGGCGATAAAATATATGCCACCGTTTATAATTTTTATTATATTTGTCTTCATAGTTCTTATCACAACTACTTGGTTATAAACTAAGCAAATATTTAAAGTTCTTAAGTGCTTATCACACTGTATAAAGTTTATAACACATAAAATTATTTTCTTATTGGTATATCATTAGAATAATTACTAGAAGTATATTATTTTTATAATTTTCCTCAAAGATGTCGTTTAAATTGACACATGCAAAAACCATGTATACATTAGGGTGGGTCACATCAGTATGGAGAAAAAAAAAATGTTAGTTTTTTTTCAGGCACAGTGATAAAAAGGTGCCAAATCATAATTGTAAACAGACTATGAAATTTGATGGTAGTCGGAATTAATCTTCTGCCTCCGGTCTCACGTGGAAATTCAAGAAAATTTGGTTTGTAAGGTCCTAATGATATGGCAGAAACAGTTATACTGATCAACTCTATTTATAAATAAAAATCTTAAATCAATAGTAATTGTGTTTATTAAAAGTGAATTAACGTGTCAAATAAGTGTAACTGCAGATAAAATCAAAAATAATCATTACAGTACGGTCATCATCGAATCTGAATTGGGGGCAAAAATCCTTTTTGCTGTCGAATTTCGGCATTGATTTTCTCGAATCTATCTGGTCTTTGCTGAATCCTTTCTTGCTGTTCTAATACATAAAGTAGGGGAAGCTTCAGTCACAACTTTAACTGCTCTCTCTACTGCTTGTGTGTGACAAGGGAGGCGTAATAAATTTAATCGCCTTCTCCTTTTTGTACAACAAATAAAAGCAGATTTTCTTTAGTTACAAACTTTAAAATTGGCGGCTCAGTGATATTTTCTTGCCAATCTAAAAGGTCATAATACGTTGACATTTTAAAGTTCATCTCTGGCAACTTAAACAGACGCAATCTTTTAGGTTTTGCTGATCTAGCTTTCAAAATTCGACGAGCAGCTAAATCCTGTATATGCGGCTGGATATCAGTCAACATTCCGAGTAATAAGTTTTCTGGATGTGCGAAATAAGCATTTCTTTGAATAACTGCAGCTTATTTTTGTCTATTACTTGTGAAGTCGATAAATGCAAAACTACAGATGCGATCTTGTAATCTGTTTAGTTGTACGAACGTTAATGCCACCTATCACCATTTGCCTAGCTGTTCGTTGATCTGTTATGAAGTTGTGTTCTCTTAGAGGTATTTTTTGTTTTTATCACAAGCACATTGAAGTAAATCTCTACACTTGTAGGCCGCAATATCAAATAGCACTTTACTTCCAAGACGAAACTCCTTCATCTTGTTTTCGGGTATTTTTGAGTGAGATTTAAGTAAGTTTTTGCACTTTAAATGATATATTTGTAACATTACCTTTACACGTTTTGGTTCTACAGTAGGAATAGACGATCTCACCCATATTTCTATCAATTTTGGAACTATTATGGCTTCGATTTCTTTATACGTTGGCTCCTTTTTAGTTTCCCTCTCATGTTTTAACTTGTGTCTGGTCCACTCATAAAACTTCATCACATCTTTTTAAATCACATAGATCACCAAGCAAGGGATACTTCCAACTATTTCTCGTACGTTCCATTCTTACAATAATGGGGAAAAAATGACTGCACTCTAGAACACAACATTGTTTCACAGATCAATTAAGCGTCACTCCATCCCGTGCCCCTCCTTACCCGTAACCTTGAATTAAGCCAAGCAAACATCTTCCTTTATTTGTAGTGATTAACAACTATACGTACAGCACGAAACCGGACATCGATAGCTTGAAAAATGTGTCGGAAACATATAGTTAAATATATGCTTTTTCAAAAATTTCTTTTAGAATCCGGAGGCAGTTAAACTTAAAATAATGAAATAAAATTTTACACATAAATTAAGTAAACCATTTAGCACCTTTTTATTGTTGAGCCTTTTTAAAAAAAGAAAAAAATAATTTTTGACCCACCCTAGTATACATATAAAAGTAATTTAAGAAAATGTTTGTTGACAAAAATAGTATACATTTAAAAGTATATATATCCACATTGGTAAGATTGGGGACATTTCTTGGACATAACCCGTATAGGTTTTCATGGCGTCATCTTTAATATTAAATTTTTTTGGATACTTAGCGTTTTCACCTCATCTGCTCGAGATCACATCACATTCTTTTACAGCCACAAAAAAAACGTCCGCATTATGTAGATATAAAATAATAAGAATCGCAGAAAAAGTATGTAACTTAGTTTCATTTAACTGTGTACGCGCAAAAACCCTACATATACTCGTATGTACATATATGTATTAAGTTTTCTTCTGACGTCTCTGACTGTCTTTGATTAATAAATAAATAATATTTTATATATTATACAGTTTAATGAAGTGAATAAAAGTTTGTAGATAGTAGGAAAATTGTTTATATATGTAATCATTTTGAATTTTATATTGTTCTCACACTTTCCAGTTCCATTAGGTTAATGGATTTATCAGTTATTATATGTAATGAATTGGGGATTATATTTTTATTTTATGTCTACTCTAACTCTTCAGTTTCAATTTTACTCGGTTTCCTAATATAGACATTTTCTGGATTGCTATGTTCATTTTCATAATCTAGAATTTGTTCATATAATATATCAAAAACTTAGTATGTTTCTTTTTACTATTTTTTGTGTAGTGCTTAAATTTTTAATGTTTTTTATATAATTTGTTCTTCCGCTCCTTTTGATATTATATTGAACATATACATATATCGTTAATAATATTATTTTTGGTGTTACACAGTTTTATCAGAGAAATTTCGTAGTTTAACAGGAGTTTTTCCCTAAACAGATTGTTTTAAGTGAGTTATACATAAATCTCATCATAATTTTCTTCTATTTTCTTACATTGTAAAAATCTGTATATATATCTCTTTGGGTGAAAGTGTAAAAAGTTTTTAATATCTGTATACCATGTTCTTTTTAAAAATTCATCTGCTTCAAAAGTTCCTTAAATTTAGCATACTTGATAGTATGTTTCAGTCGAATGTGCAATATATATATGAAAAATAACTACATTAAAACGACATTAATTAAGAAAATACTTGGTTATAAGTGTATAAATATAAAATGAATATAACTATCTTTAATTTAATGTCATGGTGATGAGGTCATTTCATCTTACAATCCTTGTTTTACCACACAATATTACTCCTTTTTTTATTTTTGTTACTAAATTTTTAATATTTAATGTGTAGAATTTCCGCGTTTAAATGAATTGAACTCTACCAGAAACTTAAGTCACTTGGAAATGAAGTATATCGAAAGTATGATAAGAGCAATCGTTGCACCTATATAAATATGTTACTGTGTGTTTATTTATATTCTAGTGAACTAATTTAAACATGATGGTGTAAATGGCATGAAATAAAGATAAAACCAACAACAGACTTCCGTCAGATGATACATACGACGTAATAGCTACTCGCGAATATTCTTGTCGTAAGAATTTAGAAAATTTGTCAAGCGAGAAATACCATAAGATTAAAAGTATATTTTTTTATTTTTGCAAGAAAAAGACCATTTTATATTTTTAGTAGGGCTATTCTTGATGATAACCTTTTTAAATAATAAAACATGATAATTATATAGAGAAGATAGACGGTGAGAGAAGTATTCTGCTTTATGTTTTAGTTGTTTAGTAGGTGAGTTATAATTATTTTCCGATTCCGATTTATTTCAATACCACAATAATATTATCTGTTAATAACTACTATTGTTTTATTAATATTATATTAGATTTACCCAATATATTTGTTTATGTTACGAAGTAATAATAATAAAACAGTTACTTTTTTTGTGACGTGACCGGTATATTTACTCCAAAGAATGCTTATAAATTGTATATAAAATGAACATTATTTATCAATATATGTACCTAAGAACCTTTTTCATCAATAAGAATACGGATATTAGTATAACAATGACGGCTGTTATAATAGAAGATATTAATTCAATTTCATAATATTCCGACAACTCCAAGTCCGCTGCTTCTGTTCTCAGATGTTCGCCGCCGTATTTTAAAACGTATTCTGTCCACCATACAGCTTTCTCTACTGGCGTTTGAGGCTGATCATTCATTATAGTGCGAAGTTTTTCTATGTTTGTTTTAAAACTGAAAGAAATGGTTACATTATAAACTGTAAAAGACTTCTTTTAGTCAAAAAGATTAATTTGTTCGCATCGTTTATCATAAAGATTAAATATAACGGTTTACATTTTAGTACTTACCTTTCATCACCTAGAACTGTTTCTAGAGTTGTTCTAAACATATCTTCGTTTAAGGAGTATATATCTAATTGAAGTCCTATTTTAAATTTGACGTATTTATCGACATTCAACCATTGATCCCACATCAATGGAATACCAATCAATGGTACAGCGGCTTCTATAGCTTCATGTGATGATTGCAGACCTCCTTGTGTAATAAAGAGTTTTACTTTTGGATGACCTAAAAATTATTAAAAATTATGATGAATCTAGTAAGGCGGCAAAAATAAAGTTATGACATATTTTAAAGAACGTACTTAGAACACCCGTCTGAGGAACCCAATCAAACAGTCTAATGTTCTTGATTGAAGGGTCTATAGCTCCCACGTTATCATTCTTCATTAATACATCATAAGGCAGTTCAGATAATACTTTAATCATAATCTGTAGTTTTTCAGGTGTCAGTATGCCTTTGTTAATATTTGTTCCGAAACTAACATATATAACTCCGTGTTTAGATGAATCTAAATAAGATTGAATTTCCTAAAATGATAACATTGTTTTTCAGATAGTGAAAATCTAATATTTGAAATGTAGTTCTCTTAGTACCTGTTCTAAACTTTTCGGTTTATTTTTATTCAATTCACCTAAATATATAACGTTAGGTGGTACAGGACGATTGGCATCCCAAACAGAGTGGATGTTTAATAAAACCAGGGCAATGTTCTTCATCAATTGAGATAATTCTGGAACGTCAGGGCCAAAATATTTTTTAAGAACCATATTGTCATAATTTTCGACATTATAATATGTCCACATGAGGTAATAATGATTAAAGTATTCCAATAATTTATTCCACATTGTTAGATTTTGAAATCTTTGTCTTTCTATTGATGGGTACAATAAAGGATGAGTTGCAGCTCCCACAGCTTCTAATGTTCCGAGGTATCCACCAAATGAACTCAATTGAATAGCTGGTGCTTGAAATACGTGCGAAAATACCAAAGCTTGCTTTACACTAGCCTCCACTACTACCAAATCAAATTGATGTTTCTTGTTATTCAAAAATTCGTCCAGTAGCCCTAAACTTAGATATTTTTCCAAAGAGCGGCTAAAAACATTCATCGTCATCGTGTGTTGCTCTATCAAACTATTAACTTTAAGCACCTCAGAGAAAAATTCTTTTCTAATTTCTTCTCCTGCGTCATGTACATCTATTTCTGTAAAATTTTCTGGCGTTTTTCCCTTAGGAAATGCTGGATGTGAAGTTATAACAGTAACTTCGTGACCTCGTTTCACTAGTTCTTGTGTATACGGTCGGAATGTGACTTGATGGCTATACGCAGGAAGTGGAAACACTGCTAGTATTCTGGCAGATTCACATTTTAATATAAACATTAACAAACAAACGATTCTTAAGAACTCCATTTTTCTTTATAAACTTAAGAATCGTTACGATTCTTAAAACTACATTAAAATTGCCAAATATATTGATAGCATACACGTCTTTACAGTTTAATCTATTATAAAAAACTAACAAAGTTATTGTAATTTAATCGTGTTTGTATGTTATCGTTATATATATTTAAAAACATAGAGATGGCCTCGAATTTCATTGTTATATTACATAATGTTCATAACCATACCAGTAGTTCTTTTAAGATAGTAATATCAGTACTATATTATTTTTTAATAGATTACTAATTTTAATTGTCATTGGAAGATCAACATTTTTATTTATTTGCATGGAAGGAAGTTGAATATCTGAATTCTTCCTACAGGTTAAATATAAAATTCCTACATCTTCATCCCATAAACCAACTAATGCTATAGTGTGCGGTAGTCTAAAGTTATTATTTAACCTATAGTTATCATATAAAATTACTATGATCTTATACAATACCTAAATCTTCTAAGGTTGTTGACATTGTACCTGTACCTAAGAAATGAAAATACAGAGTTGCTAATGACCGCTTGATTTCGGTCACGTTCATCACCTGTACGAAAATGTATTCGTAGCCAATTAGAAGACAATTAATGTTTCAGTGCCTTACAATACGAGTTTTGAAAAAAGTGGTTGATTGCTGGACTTTTGGCGGAGAGCACATTATTCGGGGAAGAACTTTAGTGCACACCGGTGATACTCACATATTTTTTCGTAAGCTGTAAACAGGGTATGACTGATTCTGCTTGTTGATTTCTAGTTCTGGCATATTTCCTGATCTGATTGCTTGGATATCAGATTTTCTGAGGAACGATGTTCTTTCTGCAACTCACTGCTGTTTAAGCGAAACAGAATCCACGTAGTAGATTTTATTGATATATCAATTTTTATACATGCCTTTGATAATGTGTCGAGAAGTGTGTTTTAATGATTTAATTTGGGTATCGTAAAATGATTCATCAAATTTAATAACAGGAGCAATGTCTTTCAATTTAATTTCCTATTTCCAACATTAATAAATATTAAGGATAATAAATCCTCGTGGGTATTGTATTAGTAACTTATTTGTAAACATTTGTGTTACAAATTAAATTAAGCACTTTTGTAAAGAAAATAATTCTTGGAGACTTCTACTACTACTACAGGGTTCTATCCGTAGTTCGGTTAACTTATTACAGACGTAGAAGCATTCAAATTTAAACGCATGATTATATGATATAACTTGATATGATAAAAAAAAACACAAGAAAAGACACCATTTTAGTTTACTTTTTATTATATTACAGTTAATAAGAAAGTTTAAAAGCGACTCAAACATGTTGAAAATATATGTACATATATTCAACATTTTTAAATAATTGGAGTATAAGCACTAATTCGTTTTAACGTACAAATAGGTATTATAGGAGTAGAATTTACTGGATTCGAAATATATATTTTTTAAATTTAATAATTATCCCGCTCATTTAAAGACATTGCTCAGTGCTCACCTTATGTAATTACTATTATTAATTTATAACAGGAAGAACTGGAACTCAGATAAGAATTGTCGTCAGTTGTTGTCTCTTTTATCAATGTTACAAGGGCAGTACCACATTATTTTTAATATTACGATACGTTTTCGCTTAGAAATACATATTTTTTAATTGCATTTTCAGAATAATGATATCTAATTATCACGTTTTTTTATGACTACATAATTTCGACGTTTCGCTTCCTTTGCATAATCGTGGTCACGGACAGACAAGATGAAAGATACATTTATCTCGTTAGCCCGTAAACGAGAACTTTAGTTTCATTCGTTGTTAGAAGATTTTTGACAATTAAAACACACTATGGGTTTTTCTCTTTGGGAAAAATAAGTGCCTTGACCACAACGTTTAAATATAAAAGAATGGAATAATTAAAGTAATCCTATTTCCACAAGATACTTTATTTAGTGTCTTATCAATAATTGAGATGGTTTCTAGCTAGTGGTATCATACCACACGAGCAGAATGAATTTTTATCATCCTATTTTGATATTGTAATCGAAGTTACTCAAAGTACAGTATTTACGCGGTTGTATAGCTACTATTATTTTTTATCTTCACACATTCATGATATATAATATCTGCTCAAAGTATGCGGTTGATGTTTACATATTTACTCACTCGAGTCTTATTAACTTATCTTTGCGCCATACAATATGAGTCAAGATATTTAATTAATATTATTTGTAGCTGCTTATCTAATGTAGTAAATAAAACCAGCAGTCATAAATTCTGCAATTGTAACTGTAAAATAAACCTATCTGAAACAATAAATTTGAATATTCTCATATAAATTAAATGTAGACTGTGGTGCACAACAAAGAGATGAAACTATTATAAATTAAATTTATTCGACAAGCTAAAGTATTTTAGTTAGTTATTCACAGATACAGAAAATTTTATTATTCTCCAATGGCCCCAATTCAGTAGTCAATCGTTAATTTAAAATGTTCAGAATATTTCACTAAAGTCAGAAACAAAAGTCTGAATCTGAATTTACTTACTTTTTACCTCAAAAGCCTTTTGAACTTATGAACGGTAAAACGAATTTTAAATCCTTTAAGAATTATAATAAGACCGAAGCAGCGTTGAATCAGTAATACAAAGGAATTATTCCCTTTATTTCCTTAGCTCCCTTTTTGTCAGCAAGACACTTGGAATGAAATGTTAAATCAATTTAGTTCATATGAAGTAGGTCTTAAGGTCTTAATGGAAAGTAAATTTAAAGTATGAGATTAATCTAGCTAACAATTTTTTGTTACTACTATTTTTATGATGATAAAGATTCACACAAAACTATCTTTACAAAAGAAAATTTACCAAAATACATCTCAACTATTCTTATTGTAACTTTATGAAAACGTTTAGTTTAAAACCAACCAAGTGTAGAGGAACCTACAAAAGCGTTGATGTATTGGGATACGGAAGACTATACAATATACTGTGCTGACCCCATGTTCTTAAGCAAAAAAGGAGAATAGTGATGAAATATACCTCATTGAATATAGTGTACAATTAAAGCGATAAAAATAAATTATAGTACACTCATCAAATTAAAGTTGGTATTAACTAGCTGTGGTCAAGTGACTTCAGCTCGAACATGTGCTGACTTGACCGGGGAAGTACCACCCTCTCTCGGAAAATCGGAGTAAAGTTTAATGAAAGAGTGAAAAATTCTCGACCGTCAATACCTTCCATCAAGTAGGCCGTCTGCTCGTTTGGTATCTTATTGTCACGACACCATCGCTAGTACCAAAATGTTACGGTTCAGTGTACCAAAATTTTATGTTTTGGTGCACTAAGTACGGAAATTGCACGCGTAGTCAAAAATAGTTTTATTGTAGTCATAGCATTTAGATTTACTTATAGACATACATTCAGTAGAGACCACTTAGAACATACAAAATTAATTTAAGTTAGTTCTTCGTAATTCAATTTAAATACTGAAACTTTAAGATCGGTCATTATTTATTCAATTCATGCATAAATAACAAATAAAATATTGATTAAAAGAATATATATATGTACCTTTATTTTAAGGATATTCTACTTGGTAATTATTACATTAAAAGGAAAACTGTGTTCCATTAATTCTGTTTGTCTACTTATCCAATATTATTAATCTATGTAATGTAATGCCGATGTACTAAGAACAATAAGACCAAGATAAACTTGTTAAATAGAATTGGTTTATTGTTTCAGAATCAAAAGACCGCATCAGATTGGACCTCACGTACATTTTATTACTATAGCTTTTTGAAATTATAAACGACAAACTGTTAAATAAATCCTTGCAGAATGCAAATGCGACTGACGCGATGCTTTATTGAAAATTCAAAGGACACCTGGACTGAAATGGTGAATTAATTTAATTCAGATCGTCTGCGTTTTATGATCTTTATTCACATTTACAACGTGATTTCAAGAAAGCAGAATTCATTAACATGTAATAAAGGAGATTTTTGACTGCTACTACTTTGTGAGGACAAAATGCAGTAAAAATATAGTTATCTTAGTATCGAATTCAGAAAAAAGAAGAGAATATAGTATTTTTGGTTAATCACAATTTTTTATCTTTCAATTATTTAAATTAAACCGCCTTAAAGTATTTTATAGTTAATTTACATATCGATGTCATTGCTTTAATTTCATACAAGTTTTGTTTTTTGTACCCAGCATGTGTTACTTTTGAAATTAATAGTAACACAATACAAAATTGACTATTCAGTATTAAAAACAAAAATTTTAAAATATAACTAAACTTTCAACAAAGTCAACTAACGATGATTTTAAAGACTTTAAAAACCAGTAGCAGATTGTGTTTCTGTAGTTGAATCTTTAAAAATAAGTGGAATCTTAATTAACAATGATATTCATTATTAAAGAAAATTTCACTAATATTATTTATAACTCATATGCAGTTATAAGTGGTTCTCTCATTGAATAAAAAAAGTTTGTGAAAGAATAAAATTGAGGTAAAAGAACCTTATAAGCTTTAAAACCTTATAAGCAAAAATAAAACGCGAAGTAAAATTCGAAAATATTAGTTTCACTTATAAGCTTCTTTCACCTCCGTATATTTATACCTAAAATAAAAAGTTATTAATCTTGTTAATGTATGTTTGAGTCGTTGTTAAGTATTTTGAGTAATAAAAGTTGTGAAAGCTTGATATGAAACCATATGATAAAAATGAATCATAGGATCTAGTTTAGTAAGATTTGCTAATCTTTGTTAGTTTAATATATCTCAAATTAATGTAGCCGATTACTGAATTAGTGTACATAATTAATGAATTGAAAACACAGTCGGACATAGTATACTGTGATATAAAACTTAATTATTATTAATAAACATTAAACTATCTTAAATAAAGAAAATAAATGTTATATTTTTCTGCATTTTTTATAAATTAAGTTTATCTTATAAAATTAAAACGTAGGTACAACAACTTAAAAAGATATACATGTTTTAAATGTGTTTGATGATATGGGTGTAATTAAAATCAAATATTTAGCAAAGATCCCGGTTTTGGGCCCAGTTTAAAAAGAAACCTTGACCAAACCTGGTATTAGATTATCACAAATATTAGCTTAACAAGACTCTCGATAAAGAACGCATATAAAAAAAGTACAGAACTTTCAAGTACTGGTAAAATTTATATAAGGTCAATAGTATTTCTATTAAACAAATCTAATTTTAATTTATGGAGAAATCAACAGTACGACTAAAACATCGTCAAAACATTTGTACATTTTAAAACTACATTCTCCCAAGGATTCGGTTCCTTTGCAGTAAGCTTGATTACGCGGACGATGGACATGGACAGACATTTTCATTAGAAGATCCAGTAAAAGCAAATCCAAAAAAAAATAGTGTTTAACACGTAAATAGCATAATCATTCCTTTCTATATTTATGCAAATATGAGTACAGCAGAAGATTTTAAAATAATAAGCGCGTGAATCAATCGATCGTAGTGGCATTTTAATCTTTTCACTTCCATGAAAAAAAAGAACAAAAGTTCGAGAATGATGTACTTTCACGTGGCTTTTAACTGTTAAATGTGACTACTAAAAACATATTTTTTTTAAGATTTCTTTTTAAATTTCAGTTATAAACTAAATAAAACAAAATCTTAAATAAAAGAAGGTAATTAATTAAAAATTACCATTAGTTAATTTTAATGTACCAAGTTTTATACTTTTCATGTACAGTTGTGAGAACTTTCATACATATATGATAACGTAATATGATGCATAATTTTGCTTTAAATTTAACATCTCGAGAAACTAGTCCCAGTGGAAATTAAACTCGTTGGGAAATTTTGAAGGAACCATCTTGAGATTCAATTAGGACGTACAAAGTAAACTAGTCCTGAGATATTTTAATAACAATAATTTAATAATTATTTACTATTTATTAAACTCAGAATTAAATTACAAATTAAATCCTGTATATAATATACTTGGAATTCAGGTAACTATGATATTATTTAAATGAAAATATGATTTTCGGAGATAGTACTAAATTTACTATATTATTTTACATTTAAGCCAACGTTTCAGTTAATTTACAGCAACTGAGATCACGAGAAGACGAGATAATTGTGTCTGTCAGTTGCTCTTGTTATTTGTAATGTAGCGCCACCAATTTTCATTTTTATGTCGTATTATGAAGTAGTTATCAACATTTCATTTATAAACCAACGGTTTTGTGAAAGTAGAATTAAAAACATGGTCAGCAGGTTGGAAAAAATTATAATATAATAAATTGTATAGTATATACGTATATAAAATACATTGCTTATGCAATCTTATGCAATTCTTGTGCTTTAAATGATAGCAATCGACACGACAAAGAGATAATACGGATAAGAACAGTCACATCAAATAAAATACTAAAACTATTTAATATTAATAAGACTAAAATGATTTAGTGCAAACTTTTGTTTCTAAACAATAGACTAAATCACACCAGACTTTGCTTAATTTTTACCACAATAGTCTTTTGAAATTATAAGCGGCAAACTGAACAATAAATCCTTTTGAATGGAAATGAGACCGAAGCGACGCTCTATCGGTGAATCAAAGGAATACTTGTTTTATTTTCTTAGTCTCCACTCTTTCAATAAGACACCTGGATTGAAATGAAATATCTTTTTAATTCCAGTAGACTGCGTCACATAATCTTAAATTCCACATTTAACTTTTTAAATGTATAGCACAATTCATAAATAGTACTGTATCTGCGTATTATGATGACACACTTACAATATATAAAAAATATATTTCGATTCGTATATTTCTTGTAATTACTGTATATACAAATAGTTCTTAATTAAAGTCTAAGGTAGTGGTTATAAGGAAGTACCATTGTAATAGCAAAGATAACAAAGACGTCGCTTACAGAGACATGATAGAGTTGAAGAGGGTTAGACAATACTTATATTCAAACGGATTTCGAACCAAATGTTTTGTAAAGGTTTGTGTATGAGACAATATGGTAAATATCGATTAATTAAATGTTTAAAATGCAAATGCAAATATATATTCAAAACAGAGTCTGCATTTACGATACAATTAAAAAAAAAAATACATAAATAAAGTGTTTTCTACATTAAAATATCTGGGGAAAAAAATCCTTGATTATATTTTACACTTCCCTAACCTTTTGAACACATTCGTTGTTTTAAAATTTGCTGGTGTGTTATTATAAAGTGTTTAAATTAGTATATCCACAATTTTTTACCTTCAAAATGTGTCATTGTGATATACATATGTGACCTGAAACAGACAGTTTGACCATACGCTTGCTTTTGGCTTCCAAATACTACGAGTATTATATAATACGAGTATTATCTTTTCTTGCATTATTAAAAAACTATTTTTGCATATATTTTTCTGAAACAAGAATTAACGTGGGAACTATCAGGCGTCGCGTCGGTGTGAACAAATATTTTAAGTATTTTAAATATTTACATTTTATATAAAATGAAATATTAAATATGGGCTATATTTACAAGGTATATTATACACAACTTTTTAACTGCAATTTTTTAATAAATAGTTCAGTTAAGTTAGACTAAATTATAGTTCCAGTTTGCATTAATTTGGAACAAGCTGATTTTTTGTTCAGGCCTTGGATATGTCAATACAAATGATATAATATATTTTTATACAGTTTTATCTAACTAAGAGTATGCAAAAACGTAATAAAAAGTCTATTAACAGATAATCTATATAAATATCATGTCACTGACTCAATAGTAGTTGTTTTATTAAGCATAACAAAATTTTATTATATTTACAAAAACCTATGCATTAAATCACATTTAATGATACACGGGGAGAATTTAACCGATTATGTATGGAATTAAATAAATATAAAAAATTTAATGCTCACAGGTAGATTATTCAATCATAGTAAGGAAAAGTTTTCGACCAGTATAATCAAATTATATTATACAAAAGATCAATTTAATTCCAATATTTAATCATAAATAGGTACTCAAGATACTATATATTGTATTGTCCGTTACGCCTTCTGTTATAAGTTATCTTAATATACATATTATGTTGATTTGAGGAGGAAGTATGTGAAGTGTTAGAGATAAGATGTTGTTTTTAATAATTTTCCTGTTATTACTATAATTATAAGCAATATCATTGCTTTTTTTTTAATTGATGCAATAACATTTGGGACTCTTATTAGAATAGTTTAAGAATAGAGTTAATTGATATATCACTCAATGAGTTAATATATTTACTTTGTAATTCAACATACAGAAATTGAAATTCGTATTGAAAATATAGAATGAGAAATATTCATCGCGACTCGGATTGGAATATACGACTTACGGAACATTTTATTCCAGTTTTTTATTAATTGTTGTTAAACTAACACATACTTTTAATGTTATTTTAGTTAAATCTATTTTTCTATTTAAAGTTTAAAATTCACATTACATTAATTATAAATATAATGACTTTAGCACATAAAGAGCATAATTATAAGAATTCATCTATTAATTATCTAAACATGATTAAACAATGGTTAAGGATATCTAAGTTTTTCCCACTCTTATGTACATTCTAAGATTTTTTAGATACCACTGACAGACGGTGAAGGAAAACATAGTGAGGAAAGATGGAATTATGATTTCAAATTATAAGAATGAAATCACCAACCCGTCTTGAGCAAGAAGGGTGATTAATGCTCAAATCTTTTCCATGTGAAAAGAGACCTTTGCTCAGCAGTGGGCTCTGATAGGCTGATGATAGTGATGATGATGAAGTCTATTAGTAACCGTGATCAGACGACATGAAATTGTCTTTAGGACAATTGCTGTAAAAGAACCGAAACTTCGGGATCATGTAGATATTAAATAATAAAAAAACGACTAGTATCTTTAATGATCGTAGAATAATAATTTAAGAATTTAAAGCACAATCGATATATTTAGTTTTCTTTAATTTTTATATCCCTTACAAAAAGAAAGGTCACAAGTATTCTTAAGAAAATTATTATGAAAATAATGCACAGAAATAGTAATCCAAGTAAAATAATTATTAAGTTGATTTCATAGTACTCAAGCCACGACAAGTTGGCGGCAGGTGACATAAGATGTTTAGCTCCTTTATGACGTAAAACGTATTCCGTCCACCAAACAGCTTTCTCTAATGACGTGTGTGGTTTATCAGTCATTATTTGTTGAAGTTTTTTGATATTTTCGCGATAGCTAAAAACATATAATATCTGATATCAATATTGCTTACGAAGGGCGATTTTTACCATTTAATTACCGATTTATCATTTAGCAAGACATTATTTCTTAATATAAGGTGTAGCACATAAGTATATATGTAGCAATACCTTTGGTTATGTATAACGTCTTCTATGGATTCTTTCAATAGTTTTTCGTTAAGGTTATTCAGTTCCAGCATTCTCCCAATACCGTGCTTAACATATTGATCAGCGTTATACCATTGATCAGCAAGACACGGTACAACAATTAGTGGAACTCCTGCAAATATAGCCTCGTCTGTCGACTGCAGACCTCCTTGGGTAATAAATAATCTAATTTTCGGGTGTCCTAAAATGTTATTAAAAAAGTTTGTTCACATTTAAATATTTCTGAATATTTTATAAAAAAAATTATTAAACCTTATTCTTTAAAATTAAGAGATATATTTATTCACAATTTAAAAAGTGTTTCACTTACTTAATAGCGTTGACTGAGGAAACCAGTCAGAAACTTTAATATTCTGAGGGAGATTGACAGGTATTTCACCATCTTGTTTCCATAAAACTTCATAGGGAATTTCGGAAAATATTTTCGAGAAAATTTGAATTTTTTCTTGAGGTAACGTGGATAATTTTACGTTTGAACCAAAACTCATGTATATAAAGCCATTTACTGATGAATTTATGAACAGTTCTAAATCCTAAAATATAATAAACAAAAATTAGTTAAGTATATTGTGGTCAAAAGCAATAAATAAATAATACAACTGTAAATATTATTTTATTACTTACTTCTGGTATCTTTTTTACTCGTTCCTTTTGTAAATGCATTTGCCCTAGATATATAACATTTGCTGGAACAGGTCTGTTAAAGTCCCAAATCGGATGGACATTCAAAAATACCATTTGGATATTTTTCCTTAATTCATTAATATCCGGTATTTCAGACCCAAACAATCTTTTCAGCACCTCATTTTCGTATTTTACGTGGTCATTATATATACTTAGTACACTATAATGATAATATATTTCATTTATTTTTTCCCAGATTGTCATATTTGATAATTTACGGCGCATTACATTTGGATATAAAACAGGATGGGTAGCAGCCCCAATACTCTCTAAAGTTCCGTAATAACCGCTGAAAGAACTAAACTCTATCACAGGCACTTGGTATAAATAAGAGAAACTTATTGTTGCCCTTATACATGCCTCAGTAAAAATTAAATCGAATCTTTTATTTTTATCTTGAATTAGATTTTGAACCTGTTCTGACTGTACTAACACCTCGAACACTTTAGTTAAAAATTGAAATATAAATTTATTTTGTACATTTAAATCGTCCTCATATTTAGTAAAATTTCGTGAGAATTCAGAAATTGTCTCGTATTCTATATCATGCACATCAATTTCGTTCAGATTTGGAGGAGTTTTCCCTTTTGGAAAAGCTGGATCTGCAGTGATAACAACCACTTCGTGTCCACGACTGGCTAATTCTTCCATTAAAGGGTGAAATACTACTTGATGGCTGATGGATGGGGTCGGGAATACTCCTAGTATTCTTGTAGTTTTAGTTACTGATATTAAGAAACTTAAATAAAAACATGTTTTTACTAACATATTGGACCTTACCTACTTTGTAAACTAGTAATATAATACTGAAGTACGTTTCATGCCATTGTTTTATGATAATGTAAAGTACTCAAGAGAACCCATTATCATTACCTATTTGTATCTTAATTGTATATGTATGTTTAAATATATATTGTAAAATGAGAATTGATATAATATTTCTGTATATTAGAAATTTTTAGAACTATTACTTGAGTTTGTGTCAATATGACCTTACAAAACATACTTTCTGTGTCAAAAAACTTTGTAATGCGATTGGGTCCGGAAAAAATTCTTCGATTTTGATTTATAACAATTTGAAACAAAAGTCTATTGTACACGCCGGTTATAAATGAAAAAAAATGTATATTTTTTATTAGGGCTTATATTAAAATATATTTAGAAAAAAAACAGCGTAATTATAAAATTTTACTATCAATAATTAAAAAGTCTTTAAAACTGGCCTTTATTAGCATTTTTTAAAATAAATAAAGAAGAGAGGTAAAAAAAAACGTTAGATAATGTACATAAAAATTTCAGAAAAATTTCATTTAATCTTTTGTCATTGGTAACTTAATATATTGGTTGGATATCTACCACCAAGTGAAATACGGACTAACATCTGTTCTTATTTATTATGCAGTGTTCTGTGTACTATAATATAATTATGTTAACAAACCAGTGTTACAAAATATTTAATAATAATCATTATATCAACGATATTGTTGAAACGTTTGGTAAAGTTGCTTTTTTTAGTTAGTACACAAAGACAAGATAAGCTTATGTTGAGGCGACAAAAGATTTTTACTCAATAATTTCCTTGGGGGCTGATATTTAGAAAACTTTATTTTTCCGGTGACTTGACTGAATTATTTCCATAAATTTTTACAAAACTCGAAAACACATTAATTAACAATTGAATAATATTTTAAGGCAGTTGGGTTTATATTGTTACCAAAACTGTCATTTTAAATATGGTTAAAAATGTATAAAAAATAAAATTTGTTAAAAAATAACAGTAATTTCCTCTTCAAAGTTCAGATATATAAAAAAAATACTGGCACCACTCGCAACCCTTCACAAATTATAAGTAAATTAAAAAAAACACATTCGGACACTGTTATTCAAATCACATAAATTCGAAAATATGGCGTCAGTTGCATCTTTACGAATTTTTTCATCATAATATTATCCAGGCTTATCATCAAGAGTACAAGAAATGTACATGTTTAATAGTGTTTTTTCTTAATGTATTACGATACAGAAAGGGTATTTATGAGATGCGATCATTTCATAATAAATTATGAACTTATTTGTACTATTTTAGAAATATATCTATGAGACAATGTATGTTATTGTCATTCCGTAATTCGTTTTCATAATATGAGGCGGCTTTCATAATATATTTTTATTAATATTAATTAATTAATATTAATATATATGTGTATATTTAATGAATGAGTAACATTCATTACAGTTCTTTTTGGTTGCAAATATTTTAAAGAAATTATATCTTTCAAAATATAAAATTAAGTTTACTGGGAAATGCTATTTTAAAGTAAATTTCTGAAATGTTATAATTATTTACATTTCTCAGAATTGCTGCTCCATCTGAGCGAAGCTATACAAGATTAAATTCTATTTGGATGTCTGCGTCAAAATGTCGAATTTAAGGCAGACTAGTATAATTCAAGTTCGTATTGTATAGCTAAGTTTAAAGGCCAAATATTAAGCAGTGGGTTTAGAATATAACAAATTGAAGTTAAAGCATAATTTTAGTAGTATTTTTAGATGATTAGGTTATGTATGTAAGTAATGTATGTACTTTTCTATCTTATTATGAAAACTAAACACTTCACTGTGATATATATATCGGCCGAACAGCTTTAATAACGGATGCGACATGAAAATAATTTGAGGCTGTCATCAATTCTTATTAAACCTCATTAGTATTTATGATTAATGTTAAAAGTAAAACGAAATCAAAGATTGTGTAAAAGGAGAATAGAACTATGTTTAAATCTTGGTTTAAATATGACATCTAGATGCACGATTGCAGACTTCAGAATTCAGAGTTCAGTGAGTGCGTATCATGGAAGTATGTGATTATGAAGAACCTTCGAGAAATACAGGAGCATTAAGAACAATTGAAGTTTCATTTAAAAATATCATGGAACGCTCTAGAAGAAGTGACATTCGTAACGTCAGCGAGGCTGGCGTCTCTCTCTTTAAAAACAACGAAATCTGTAATAAATTCGATATATATAATAACTAGAGAATATCTCAAAAGCTATTTTATATAACATGTTACTATAGTATGTATGTGAAAAAATTATGAAATTTGTATAAATACTTTAGTACTTTGGTTGTAAAACAAATTCTCATGCAACGAGATGTAAATTCTGTAGTGGCGTTATAAGGTGAGTGTGTGAGTGTGAGGTGAATGTTAGTATGTTTATAACTTATCACTATCAGTATCCTGAATTATATTAAAATTTGGAAAGGAAAATGTCTTCGGAAAAAAAGATGAAAATAAAAAGAAATAAATCCCCTTTTTTGTCTCGACACAAAGCTGCCTTAAGAATCTTAAAGGCACTGACACTAAGTGATCTCACAAGAAGAGAGAATGATAATTCCGTTAAGTCGTGACTAGGGTTGAGATGCCGGGATTTCAATATGAATAGAGAATTGTATGTTTGAAATTAAATAAAAGTATATATTAATTTCACGTCTCTCTCAGGTATAATTCTAAGAAGTATTTAATAAAATCTTCTGTAAGATTGCTAGTTTACAAGGTACGTCTCTAAAACTTTGTACGACCATTTTAAGACCATGGCTAACAGGAAAACAGGGTGGCAATTCCATGAATTTGAGATTTTCAAGGAATATAAAGGTAAAAAATGAAAACGGTTTTAATATCGCAAGGAGAAGAAATATTAACTTTGTCCAAAATATAGGAAAAAGTTTAGGATATGAATTATTATACGAAAAATAATATCATATTTTATAAGGGTTTTATTTTGAATTTCTCTCTTCATAATGACTGAAGAAACTTCCATATTCTGGTGGAAACACCGTTCTAGACAGTACACAATGTGTTTATTTATTGTTGTATTTCCGTATGTTGCTGTCGGAATTCTCAGTTTTTTTCATAGAATTTGCGAGCATTTAAAATACCTCTTTCAGTAAAATAGTTAGCAGTGCAGGTGACTATTTCCTACTAATTAGTATCACCGTAGCATTATTATGAAATAGCCCAATTAAAAGCAAATAAACATTGCCACCTAAACAGTAACGTCAATACTAGAAATATCTATTCCTGCAAAATTTACTCTTGATGTAGTTTCTACTTCGGTTTAAAATTACCTAGTTTATAAGAAATTTACGTAAGTACATGACAGCAAAAGCAATATGTCACACACACTGACCATGTTTGAAAACGAGTTACGAAAAAGATTATGTAGTAAGATTGAAAGAAAAAGAGTGCTTTAGGTACATAAGCTAAGGATCAGCAGAGAGATAAAAGGTATGTAAAGAGTATAAGCATTTCAGGAAAATGATCTGGTATCCCCAAGATATTGCAATGTACTACATTAAAATTTATTTTATTAAGTCTAATGATGTTTCTTATCCAGGTACTATTGAACTTGTAAGGCTCTAGTAAGTCTAGTAGCATAAGGACCGCTGGTTGTATTTATGATTACGCCGAGGCTAACTTTCATTAATTTATAAATCACGTAACACAAACGTAAGCAAAACTTGAAAAAAATCTCATGATTGTTTTAGGAAATTCACTCCCTCTCAGTTTCATATATTTTTTTATGGGAACAAAGTAGCAATATTGTTTTATTTATAAAATAAACCCATTCAAAACTTTCCTTAAAACAATGACAATAACAATATTTTGTAATGGTTTCTATCTTCTGTATTGCTTGGAAAAAAATTAAATTCTTCGCAATAAAGATTCTTAAAAACTAGATTTAAATTTTCTTGATTATAATTAGGTTGTTAATGAATAGTCGCATATAATATAATACATATTATAAAATGAGGGGCAATAAAATCTATTGATTTTTTAAATCAAATTAAAAGTTATTCTACAGGAGATTAAAAGGAAAACTGTGGTAAAGGTGTGAATCATGTAAAAATAGTCAAAAATTTAACACTAACAGAAATAAAAAATTTAAGAGGAAAGTTGGTTAAAATTCTCTTAAGATTTAAATAAAATGAATATTATTTAACTGTTCTTTTTCTTATACATGTAAAGTTGTGTATATCTCTTTATACTAGTAAAAAACAAAACAAAATTATTCATTGACTTTAGAAAACATGTGAATCAGTTGTCGCTGCGATAACTTTAATTGGTTGAAGGAAGGCTGATTACTGTTAAAACTTTATAAAAGATAATATAATAATATAACATCTAAACGATTCCGAATACAAAAGATGGAAAGAACAGTTCTCCTGTGTTAGTGGAAAAGCATTTTACATTTTTATTTGAAACATTCACCTTAGTACCACAATTTATATTATACTAGCTTTCCGCCCGCAGCTTCGCTGCGTGGAGTTCGGTTATATCGCGTTTCCAAGAGAACCTTTCAAAAGTCTGGGATAAAAACTATCCTATGTTCTTTCTCAAGGTCAACTCTATCTCTGTACCGAATTTCATTAAAATCAGTTCAGTGGTTTAGGCGTGAAAGCGTAGCAGACAGACAGACAGACAGACAGACAGACAGACAGACAGAGTTACTTTCGCATTTATAATATTAGTAGGGATGATAGTTCTACAATTATTCAATGACAGTCATTTGTTACATTGTGGTAACAATTATATTTACTAAATTAAACTAATAATTGTGATCACGAGGTATCCTATATTCTAAACATATCACTGGGAGCATATTTTTTTTTTGTAGCTGCTAGAGTAATGTTTAGATAAGTTCTTAATTGAATGTTACTTATTTAAGGATACAAGATTTTTTTTTCCACAATATACGTTTTACTAAGAGTCTTACAGTATTATCATTCAGATTTAGTAAGTATTTTAAGATTAGGATTGTCTGTGACCTAAATCTTGTTCTGAGAGTAACCAAACTACTGAACAATTCCATTTGCTTTAAGATGTTACCTGATCTAGAATATGCGCATCGAATAACAACCTAAACACACCTAAATAATCGGTGAAAGTCATAATTTAGATAAATTTTAAAACTATAGTTTATGAATGTATAAAATTGTGATTAATTTAAACTAATATCAATACAAAATAGTTTTTGTTATGTTGCCTTTCTTTTCGAAGAAGTCAGTTATTGAACAAATTGGAGTACCTCATTTTTATTTCATACTAGAAGACCTGGCGAACTTCGTATCGCCCTATAATCAAGAAATATCTATTACGTTTTTTTATTTATGTTTTTGGAGTTTACCTGTAAGCCATAAATCTCCGTGTTTTGAAGTGCGACAGAATGATTGACATATTAGTTAGTTGTCAAATCTAATGTCAAAAAAAAACGTTTGTATAGGAAATAGAAAAGGGCTGCTTTTATGTTTTTTTTCCAGTAATGAATAAATTTTTTCAGCTTTTATACCTTCCCTGAACCTCCACGAACATTTCAAGACTAAGATAAGATAAATCCGTTCAGCTGTTCTCGAGTTTTAGCGAGACTAAGGAACAGCAATCCATTTTTATATATATAGAAGATAGTTTTCATTCAAAACAGAAAAATATTTTTATTTTCATGTATATCTGATTTAAATAAGTCACGAGACTATTTTTTTCAAATATTTATTCAATTTTAAATATAATAACACAAATTCCAATAATATTAAGAAAGTAGTAAGCAAGAGTAAGTAAAGTGCAAATGAGATTAAAAAGTTTTTAAAAATTAGAATGAAATACATAAATAAAATAATTGTCAAAAGGATGTTTTATCTTCTATAAAAATAAATATCAAATAATGCTTTTGGTTAGGAATGTACAATATAAAAATCATTTTTATTTTTACATTTAAAGCATCCAAAATTGAGGAGTACTCAAAATTATTATTGTTCATTTTTGAAATTAGAGTTTTGCAACAAAAAAAATTAAAATGTTTTTCAATTACATTTCAAGTAGCTCAACATACAAAATAAAAGAAATGACATCCATAAAAACGAGATTTATATATTCATATAGAATAATCGTTTTTTACTTTATAAAATTATAGCTGTATTTTACTTGATGGTGTCCCAAATATTTTATTGAAATAATCTTACTCTAAATTAACCCAATTTCATAAACTTTTCTAGGGCCTTTAAAGAGCAGTTTTGGTTTTAGAGCGCCGTGGTTTCTATTGAGTAGATCCTCTAGAACGGGCCTTACTGTCGCTACAACGGCGTTCCCCGCTGTGGGTTAAGCTTAGCACGTCTGCCACTCCGCCACTAGGAATTGGCGAAGCTCCTCTCTACGTGCATGAATATTTCGAGTCATCAGGCGTGGTCCCAGGAGGGGGATCCGGGTAGGAGGGCCACTGTCTCAAAGAAGATCGTCCGGTAAACTTTAATGACTCTAATAACCATCACACACGATGGCCTTCGAAACGAGGCAGTGCGAAATTTCGGGCTGTCAAGGCCTCTGCCCACACTGGCGCGGCGTATAGCGCCATTGACGGTAAGACCCCCTTCTAGAGTCTCCAGCACGAGGGGATGAGCCCCCCTCCCCCCGATTGGGTAGCAAGAGCGGGAGTGCAGAAGCTTTAACCAACACCCTGGGGGCAACCCGTGTAAAGTGCGGTCCGAAGTTCCACCAACTGTCGAAGATGAGTCCAAGGCATTTCATTATCGACTTGAAAGTGATGGAGATACCTTCCTACCGTGATGCTAGACTACGAAAGCGTCTCCATTCTAGGCCCATGAAAGCGCAGACTTGTGCTATGCCACAGCCCTGCCGCTGTATTAAACTCAAGACGTGCGCGATGACGCGATGCCTGACGTTACGAGTTTCAACGCACTGTAACTAGCGTATTATCGGCGTTAGAAGTGAAGCCGACGCCGGGGAGAAACGCACCACGTAGAGCCCTATGATTTACAGTAGTCTCTCGCCGACCCCATCCTTCCCGACCCAAGTACACCACAGATCTTTCTGACAAAGGCATTGCGAATAATTTTAAAAACAATATTATATCTAAGAATTTTTGTATAAGTTATTCTAATAATTGTATTATTTAATGTACAACAGTTCAATCGTCCGTCCATTTTTATTCGAAGTATATTCAATAAAAAAAAACTATAAATATATTATTCTATTCTTATTTCTATTAAACGCAATATTCTCTGCGAGCTATTTGCATTAAGCGATCACAATTAGTAAATATATTTATTACATATATATCTTTTAATTATCAGCGTTAATTCAATCTTGAATCGGAGCATTGATTTTGTTTCTTTCTATTATTACTCGTTTTAAAGCTTTATGAATACTCCATTTTATAATTCTAATTTTATGTTGCAATGTAACATTAACGTAGGCAAACAAGATCAGAACTTAAATTCTAGATTTAATCAAAATAATCAACTAATAGCGAATCTTTAGAAATCAATATATCCGTGACAATCAAGATATCAATATTTCTTAAATTATAACACTAATTAGAAAGTAAACTATGTATTTTTCTAACCCAACAATTGTTGAAAAAGATTTAAAAACTCTTCAAACATCTACAACAAAAAGAAAAAAATTCTCAGGTGCTAATTGTGACAATAAGCAACGAAAACTTTGAAAGTATTATATAACAAGTATTTACTATCTATTAAAATAATGATACTTGTATAAATTTACAATTTATACAAATGATAAACTTTTGATAATAAGTAGAAAACATAACTTTCTTATTATTACTTTCCTCATAGGAAAATATGGAACATTTTGTAAATACTTAAATACAATAGTATTTTTTAAAATATTATTTTCTTTGTCCCCCCCCTTGCCCTCTCCTTGTTGTTTGAATTTTACTTTAAAAGTAATTTGTATGGGATATGATTACAATAAAGCCACAAAATAATTTAAGTTCACGAATTGCAACACTAAATAAGAAAAAAATATTTAAAAAAGAAGAAAGAAAATAAATCTTGGTGAATTAAGAAATTAAACAGAAAACTAAACTACACAGTACTTATAACTTAAAAATATAGAAAAAATTATACAATTCCAAATATACAAAAAACAGAACACTTAAAGTAAATAAAGTAAAAAAAAAGCAAAAATTGTCCCATAATAAGTCACAGCTAAAAATTATTTGAATTTTCAATGAATCATAACCACCTAATTGATTTAGATTTAAAGTTGTGACCGTCTAAAGAATATATCACTGATCTCTATTCTCTAATGAACATCGTTTACATAGAACCTTGGATGTTTTTTGCGACGTTGTTTATAAAAAATAGTCATAAACACATCACGTGTATGTACTACATATTTATAGCTTAAATCTTTACCGATTTTAGTAACTTGAATAAATTAATAATATATTTTGAATGCTTTGACTTCGAAATAAGTTATATTTGCGTCTCAGGAGATCGTTTAGGCTATATTAGTATGACGGCGCATCCGTCAAAAATCATACGTCAGGTTGACTTTTAGCTGTCTGAGGTTAGCCTAGTGAAGCGTCATTGTGATGGTAGCGAGGGCGGCCATCTTTATTATGGAGTATCGTGCGAGATGACGCCCGCGCACCGCGCTCGTGACGAATCGCTGTGTATCGAAGTGATAGTGATATCTAGTGTTTCGATTGAGTTGGTGTCGTATTGAATAGACTGTACTTTATCCCTTTCAAAGTATGAGTTCCCATGAAGGCCCTCCTGTTCTTATAACGCCCTCCTACATCAGAAGTGGGATCGAAAGGGCTTTAAAATGAGGAGAGTAGTGATCATCCATCTATGTTAAACTTTGTAAAAAATAATGAGAAACTTGTCGATGAAAATAATGTCAATTTCTCAACTAACTTCGACGACGTAGTTGATCCGGTTCAATCTGGATCGTACGGAAGCAGATATAAGGGTTAGGACGTCTCGTCGTGTCTTGATCGTAAAAGGTACCGGTAATTGAGGCTCGCCGGTGAAGGAGATATCTGTGTGACCATGGGCCGAGCCGAGGGGAGTTGACGACGTCATCTGGTGAGACTGTTCCTTTTCTTTTTAGTAGTGGGTGTACTTGTTCATGTAGTACTAATGTGTGTCTGTATCTGAAAATTTTTCAAATAAATTTCTGTGTACTTTGAGCAATGAAGTAGTTCCCCTGAAAGGCATCGGAGACTTATTGTAATACACAAATTTTAAGCCCGGTCATAATTCAAAGTGTTTCAGTGTCTCTTTTGTTTCATATTATTAAAGAGAATATTATTCTTGAATCCGTGGTTGTTGGACGGGACCTTGTAGAGTGGGGGGTTAAAGGAGAGATAAACAGTGACTACATTATTTTCTCAAAACCTGAAACGACAAAAACAGATAAGTGCCCAACCTCAGACAGTCTTAACTTTTCTTGTATCAAAACTTATTTGGAAGGCGACGATAACAAAGCCCTTATCGATGTTTTTAAGAAGTATAACTCATTTTATTATTAAGGGCACCTCTTAACTCTTTAGACCCTAATTCTTTAGACCCTAACATAGTCTAAGAGAGACCTTACAAATTATAAGAGGTTGTTCGAAAAAAAAAAAATGGATGCCCTCTTTGAAACAATCATTTTACACTTTATCAAGCCCCATTCTAATTGTAAAAAAAAAACCGAATGACAACTCTGACATAATGTATGTTGACTCTAGGGAGATTAACACCAATTCTTATAGTAAGCCTTTTTGTTTAGAAATTTTATACCGAACTATTTCCGCCTAGTACGATCCTTATGTCTACTCACTAAGTTAAAGGGTTTAATTAAACGGTCAGAAGTCCACGGTAATATTCGTAAATGGATAGTTCAAATACTTACCACGGAGTCTATTCTAACTATATTTGATCGCGAGCCTCCTATAGAATTACACACGAATGCCAGCGCCAACGGATACGGTACCATTTTAATTAAATGAAAGAACGGAGTTCCTCACGTTATTTCATATTTCAGTCGCCGGAAAACTGACACGGAATAAAAGTATCATTCTTATGAACTTGAGACCTCGGCAGTCGTTCGAGCGGAAGAATATTTGAAGCAAAAGCTATATGGTCATCATTTTATCGTTTTCACGGGTGGCAATCCTTTCAAAGCTTCTTAGTTAAAAAAAAAAAAAAAAATTAACACCGAGAGTACATAGATGACCCTGAGCAGGGCACTTCCAAGAGCGACAAAAGCAAGGCTCAAGTAGTTAATAAGTCTGTGCAGTTTGTAGAGGTAAATCAAGGGTGGTTAGCGGTAGAACAAAAACGTGATGCATATGTTCAAGATATTGTTGCTCAGCTCTTAAATAATAAGTTTCCCGATTCAATTAGTCACATCTACGATGTTAGAAACAATATGCTATATCGAAAAAAAATTGAGCGAAACAAAGTTAGTCGTTGGTAACCTATCGTCCATCAGTCCCTTGTATGGACTTAAATCAACCATATCCATACTGAGATAGACACGTTTAGTTTCTTGATGGAGTGCAACGCAGGCAGGTATTTTTAGGTGTTCTGGGATTTGGTCCAGTCACCTTTTGGGATTTAGTCCTCTAGTTCGGTTACCGTCCACTTTTTCAATCACTAGCGGACGTTTAAAGCTGTCCGTAGTTCTGTCAGGGAACTGACCAATCAACGCCAGTATGTGCTGCAAATAGATATTAGATAAGCGCTGACCATATTTTGAGGTATGCGTAACATACTTCGTCATCACCACATTCCTAAGGCATCAATTCTTTGCCTGTCAACGACTTTCATAGTCCACGTCTTTGCACTATACAGAATCGGATAGCTAGATAGATAGAAATATAGAGAAGGCAAGCGTTCGTATCAGATGCATTTTTGTTCCATTAATAATTTTCCTATCTCTCCAAATTTTATTCAGTGGGGTTATTGCTATTTTGGCCATGTAAATTCTCCTACGGATTTGCATACATTTTATTGGCATACTATTCACATAGATATGACTGCGACATTAAGTGGCAAAAGCGACAGAAAAGAAATACGCGTCAGTAATGATTGATTATGTTATCAAGTATGTCCTTTAAGAGCATACTCTATCCCTCGATGCCAGTTGTACTATTAAAGCGTTGAGAAAAGCTGTTTCTCTTTTCGGTGTTCTCAAGCGAATTGTTATATCGGGGAAGGGGCTTTGTAAGCGCGGACTTTAGAGAATTGAGTAAAACACCTCGTATAGAACTTTACTTTATAACAACAGGGGCAAATAAAGCCAACGGTCAAGTAGAAAGGGTCATGCAGATTTTAAAATGTCTGCTAACTATTATAGAAAACGATACCCATAAAACGTGGCGTGACAAACTTCCTGAGGTACAAGGGACGAAACCGCTTAGCATTCAATTTATTCACCGTGCGGGTGCCGGGTCCATCGCGTTGCAGGGAGGGGAGCTTCAGCAGTGCCTGGGACTTGCGACCCAGGTGTGGGTTTAAGGGGCCCCTTAACTAACGCGCGTTGTACGCTCACCTCCACTGTCCAAGTTCCTCTCCCTACCTAGCCAAATTTGGAAGGAACCTGTAGGGCTGCTTTTGACGTACGTTCCGAGAATGAATTAATGTTGGTTCTGGACGGGCCCAAGTCTTTTAGTAGGTTGTAGAGAGATTTGGCTGTTATGCCTCTCGCTCCCACCTCTACCGCGGACGAACCTATTTCGAGTTAGTTCGTTAGTGAGCTCGTAATACTTAATGACCTTGATGGCATGGTCTTTGGGGATGTTGGTTTCCCAAGGCACCATAGGCTCTATCATCACAACGCGCTTTAAAATACGCGAATATAGAAATATGTCTGGTCTGGAGGCTGACGCACAAATATCCTCGGGGATTTTGTGTTGTTTCTCATACGTATCCATCATGATAGTCCAATCCGAAGCCGCTTTAAGGATAGAGTAAGGCTTGACGTTTGATTTTATAGCCCTGGTGCTCTCTCTCACAAAACCTATTGATCGCTCGTTTGTGGTTATTTCCCTTTGCGCTCTGGCTACCGAAAGGCTAACCGCTTCAAGTATGATCTCTAAAACCCTATAGTGACGACGCGAGAATTGACCGCTGTCCAGGAGAACCTTACATCTCACTAGCAAATGCTTAGCAGTTCCAACTGCCTTTCCGCAGATATAGCAAGTGTTTTCGGTACCTTTACCCCATCTTACTAAATTACTCTGATCTGGGAGAGTCATCTAGCACTTAATAACACAAGCCGTAGTGTTACAGGATATACTCCAACAGAACTAATGTTTGGCATTCGCGCGCAATCTTTAGGGATATCATTAATAGCCCAAAATTCAAACGAGCCGAGATTAGATTTAGACAATATCCGGAATAAAACTTCCCTCAACACTGAAAACGCAGATCAAAAGGAAATAGTTAAATTTAGTAAAGGCAAAGCCCAAGTAAAACCTTTTTTTTCTTTCTCGGGGAGATTACGTTTTTGTTAAGTGTAGCGAATGTTACCAAACTAAACTGCAAAGAAAGTTTAGGGGACCTTTTATCATAACTAAAATTATAGACAACGATAGGTACGAACTGAAACATACCGATGAATCTAATTGCACTTTAAAATACTCTCATGAAAACTTGGGCGCAGTACCCAGAGGCTTTGAAGGGTTAGTTGACATATCCACTGAACTAAGTAATGAGGAGGCCGAGACGGCGGGTCATGGAGTGGAGAGAATGGAAACGAAGCTATGTCAGATGATGAAAGTGAGTAGCTGAGTAGCTCTGATGGCCTCCAACATTGATAAACCATAAATGAGTTGTGTAAGTTTGAGTTGGTGTGTTTGAGGTGGCGATGGAACTGGCTGATGCGGCCGATGTTTCTAGTAGTGATGGATCAAAGCGTGCAGGGGCTGGCTCGATGGAGTCCATGTCCGGTCGACGCTTGATCAGGTTGTGAAGATGGACGGGCTAGCTCTGTGGAGTCTATGTCCGGGTCATCGTTCACTCACATGAGTATAAGTAGTGGAGATGATGGGGCTAGCTCATTGGAGTCTCGATCATCGTTCATTCGTTTGGCTGAGTTGTTCTGGATGCTCTGCAGATTGTGGTCAGACGAATATTGTCGTCCAGGTCAGAGCCATTTAAGTTGGCTGACTTGTTCTGGTGAGACGAATATTGTCGTCCGAGTCAGAGCCATTTAAGTTGGCTGACTTGTTCTGGTAAGACGAATATTGTCGTCCGAGTCAGAGCCATTTAAGTTGGCTGACTTGTTCTGGTAAGACGAATGTAGTCGTCCGAGTCAGGAGCCATTTAAGTTGGCTGACTTGTTCTGGTAAGACGAATGTAGTCGTCCGAGTCAGGAGCCATTTAAGTTGGCTGACTTGTTCTGGTAAGACGAATGTAGTCGTCCGAGTCAGGAGCCATTTAAGTTGGCTGACTTGTTCTGGTAAGACGAACGTAGTCGTCCGAGTCAGGAGCCATTTAAGTTGGCTGACTTGTTCTGGTAAGACGAACGTAGTCGTCCGAGTCAGGAGCCATTTAAGTTGGCTGACTTGTTCTGGTAAGACGAACGTAGTCGTCCGAGTCAGGAGCCATTTAAGTTGGCTGACTTGTTCTGGTAAGACGAACGTAGTCGTCCGAGTCAGGAGCCATTTAAGTTGGCTGACTTGTTCTGGTAAGACGAATGTAGTCGTCCGAGTTAGAGCCATTTAAGTTGGCTGACTTGTTCTGGTAAGACGAACGTAGTCGTCCGAGTCAGAGCCCTTTAAGTTGGCTGACTTGTTCTGGATGCTTTGAACATTGTGGCAAGACGAATGTAGTCGTCCGGGTCAGAGCCCTTTAAGTTGGTTGACTTGTTCTGGATGCTTGGAACATTGTGGCAAGACGAATGTAGTCGTCCGGGTCAGAGCCCTTTAAGTTGGTTGACTTGTTCTGGATGCTTGGAACATTGTGGCAAGACGAATGTAGTCGTCCGGGTCAGAGCCCTTTAAGTTGGTTGACTTGTTCTGGATGCTTTGAACATTGTGGTGAGATGAATGTTGTCGTCTGGCTTAATTGCTACGAGATGCTCGCCTTAAGTCTTAAGTACCATAGCACATTTTGATGATTGTAACTAGTCGTTTGTCAGGATGCCGAACGGAATAGACACAACTGTAGTTCATTGATCCGAGAACCGCCCGAGGACGGTCGAATGTCAGTCCGGCCGTGACGGCGCATCCGTCAAAAATCATACGTCAGGTTGACTTTTAGCTGTCTGAGGTTAGCCTAGTGAAGCGTCATTGTGATGGTAGCGAGGGCGGCCATCTTTATTATGGAGTATCGTGCGAGATGACGCCCGCGCACCGCGCTCGTGACGAATCGCTGTGTATCGAAGTGATAGTGATATCTAGTGTTTCGATTGAGTTGGTGTCGTATTGAATAGACTGTACTTTATCCCTTTCAAAGTATGAGTTCCCATGAAGGCCCTCCTGTTCTTATAACGCCCTCCTACAAGTATAAATTTTAGTAAATAAATAATTAAAACTATGTCACTAATATTAAGCATAAAAAAATATTTCCTGAACATGAATAAAATGTTACTTTATATAAATTCCATCGCGGTTTGTTTTTCTATCACCCACGTACATGATATATGTACAAAAGTGACGTGTATTTTTGCAAGTCACCATAGATATAATTATTGTGAGCAGTCTTATCGTTGTCTAATATTAATATTCTACAGTACGTATGTTGTTATTATGCAATAACAATGCAAAACTCGACGTAAAATTATTTTACACAAATTTGATTCCATGTAAAAATTAGTGTGGATTAAAAAATAAGTGTGTATTAAAAAAAATGTTAATAGTTTTCATTTTGATAAAGGAAAATTGCAACTCAAAAGTTTAGTTTTTCGAAGAGGACACTTATATTTCAATTTTTATAAATTTCAAATTATCCACTTCTTTCAAATACTCGGTAACAAAGATCCAAAAATAAATCAATAAAAAAAAACAAGTAATCCCAAGGTGAGTAGCATATATAATATATATAAAGGAAGTTTATTTCAATAAGTGGAATAATGTTTTTGAACTTCGTATGTTGATATACGTAATATAGAAGATAATTATAAGGTTTGCTCCTAACAATTCTAGTTCATATTAATAGTTCTTGAATAATGTTCAATAAGGCTTGTGGCTTTTTTCATACAGTGCAACATTGTCGGTAACTGTGGTAATTGATATAACTATTAAACTAAAATTTTACTTGTGTAGTTCCATCATCAAATTTGAAGGGACCCTAGATTGGAAGACTAGATATTGATGAAGGTATCTTATAATAACAGAAACTGATTTATTATAATTAATATTAAAAATTATTATTTAAAAATTATTGTTACCAATAATAAAAAACATATGTAAATTAAATTATATAACTAACTAGATAACTACTCTTTTAATGTAATTTTTATTATAATTTAAGGGATTGATCTTGCTAACCAAACCGTTATATTCTAACCTTATCTTCCCTTATACTACTTTTCGTCAAACATATTACAATTTCAATGCAATAAAATGCGAAGTTGTTGATATATTCCTATTTATTGGTGGTATAAAGATTAATATGTAATTTATTTTGATTAATTTTTATTGTATATTTATATTGACTTTATATTTCATTCAAAAGTAGTTCGTATTTTGATGTATTTAAATATCAATTTCAATTAAATTTTATTTTCAGTTTTAATTGATGAAACACTATAATGACTCAATACAAAAAGGCGGTTATAATTATTTTGTTGATGCTTAAGAGAATTGAATCGGCTAGAATTTTGGCATATTTCCCCACACCTTCTATAAGTCATCAAGTCGTATTCAGACCCATTACACAAGAACTAGCTAGAAGAGGACATGAAGTTGTTGTTGTCACGACAGACCCAGTCTTCCCGAAGGGTAAAACGCCAGCAAATCTAACTGAAATAGACGTTCACGACATATCATATAAAAGTTGGAAAGAATTTTTAGAAATGAAGCAAGGCAAGAAAGATGACATATGGTTGCAAATTGAAGTCATGATTGAAAAACTAGCCACAATTTTTGAATTGCAAATGCAAGTTCCTGAAGTAAGAGAAGTTGTTGATAAAGAACGAAAATATTACGATTTATTATTGCTTGAAGCTTGTCATAAACCTGTATTAGCATTAATACATAAGTTAGATATTCCTGCTATTCAAATAAGTTCCTTTGGAGCTCTTGATTACCATTATGAAGCTATGGGGTCACCTATACATCCAATTTTATATCCTACACCTATAAGACAGAGGTTATACAACCTGTCTTTTTTCGAAAAGGTCATGGAATATTATGCATACCTAAAATTTCAACGGTTGCAATCAAAAACCATTGAATATGATAATTTTATTGTTAAAAGAATATTTGGGGAAGAAGTTCCACTGGTTGAAGAATTACAACATAGAGTTAAAATGTTATTTGTAAATGAACATCCGATTTGGAGTGACAATCATCCTGTTCCTCCAAATATTGTTTCTATAGGAGGAATTCATAGTAGACCACCAATGGAATTACCTCAGGTATGTAAATTGAGTCAATATCCGTAGAATAGATATGAATTTATTTATTCATTTATATATTATTACCATATTTTTATTTAAGTATCTTTAACACTTTTGAAATTGTAGGAATTAAAAGAATATTTAGATTCCTCAAAGAATGGGATAATATATATAAGTTTTGGTACTAATGTGCTACCATCACTGTTACCACCTGAAAAAATAAGAATAATGACAACTGTATTGTCAAAATTACCTTACGATGTTCTATGGAAATGGGATAAAGATGAACTTCCAGGAAAGTCAAAAAACATTAAAATAGCAAAATGGTTCCCACAGGCAGATTTGCTGAGTATGTTTTTTTTTATTAGTAACATTTTTGTAATTTCATAGTTTATTCAAATATGAATGCCTCCAAAAAAAACATATGTTGCATAAAAAAATAAATATGTAAATACTTCATTTACCAATAAATATTTTTTAATTATTATTAGTGGTAACATCAATAAAAGAAATTGAGAAAATCTAAACTCGAAAAGTCAAACACTTGATACTCACACCAAATGTATTGACGTTAGATTTTTTTTCCAAATTACCGCCATGCAGTTATTTTAGTATATTAATGAAACAGTTTTTATTTTCAATTACATAGCTCTTCAAAAATAATTTGCTTATATTTTTATTTGCTTCAGAACATCCAAAAATAAAACTTTTTATAACACAAGGCGGCTTACAATCTACTGACGAAGCTATAAATGCTGCAGTGCCTTTATGTGGTATACCTATAATCGGTGATCAATGGTATAACGCAGAAAAATACGTTCGTCATAAAATAGGCAAACAGTTGGAAATAGAAAAACTCACAGAGACAGAATTTGAAGAAGCTGTTAAAAGTTTGATTGAAGATAAAAGGTAAACAATTATTTTGACTTAATTAAGTAAATTATGTGTTTATAGTTTATATATCTTTTATATTTTTTAGCTATAAGAACAATATTTTAAGACTGAGGTCTCTTATGAGGGATCATCCTATAAGCCCTTTAAACCTCAGTATATTTTGGATTGAACATGTCATCAAGTATGGAGGAGACCATCTTGAGCCGCCAGCAGCTCATATGTCATGGATTGAATACTACGAAGTGAAACTTATTTTAACAGCGACATTTAGTCTACTTTTAGTTTTAGTCACATTTATCTTAATAGGTAGATTCGCAATTAATTTCCTTCTTATAAGATATAAAACGTATATAAAAATTAAAAGTGAATAAGTTTGAAATAATATTATATATTTTGTATTCTTGTTACTGGACGACATTATTTATATGAAATTGTCAATTAGGATACTTGTTAAGAAAGAAATACTCAATTTAATTCGTGTTATGTAACTTATTGGCGTCTCTTTATCATAACAGTTGAGAAAAGGCACAACGATGCCAAACATAAAACATGTACGAAGTTTTTAAATTAGATGATTACCTATCAAATGAGTACCTGTTGGATTTTAAAAGTTTTAAATGACTTGGGCCTGTAACCTTCGAGTTTAATTTGTTATTAAAATAATAATCACAGTAGTACAGATGCTGTCATAACATTCTATGGTGACAAAGTTTTTTTTAATGAATGTCTGTTACTTTGTATTGACAAAACTTATTGAACTATTCTACGTCTATTTTATTATTCATGTATTTATATAGCACATATAATTATGATGATACATGAGTAAATGTTCTTTAAATGCGTGACAACTTCATTTGTGTAATATGCTCGTAACATTATTAAGCTTTAATTTACTTATTTTTTTCTTTCTGCTTGAGAAATAATTTTATTTACAAGTTATTATTTTTCCTTCCTACAGTCAGACCTTTGTATTGACTACATGATAATACTGATTTATTATTTGATATTAAAATGCTATATCTTTATATTAATACTATGCTTGTGATAATGAAAATAATAATGGAGGAGTTGTATTGTGTAGACTTGCTGTTGAGTGATTAAGACCAACATCTATCGATTATTCCCATTTGACCATGAAATAATTGCGTCATTATTATAAACGAGATTATTCATAGATATAAGTTAATATTTATTGTTGTTTGACTCAATAAAAAACTAGGCAATAAATTATTATTAATAATAGTTTCTTTTTTGAATACTTAAAATTATAGCATCAATAAGAATAATGCGCTACTTATGATAATTGATCCCTTAGTTCTTAGTAGCCTTTGCGGAAACGAGGAATTGTAATTTATTTTTATGACTTGGAAATCACTTAAATACCTTTTGATTTAGATTTGATTCAGCCCATAGTTCTATCGATTTTTTGTTAAAACTATCACTTCCCTTTGCTATTCTCTCGACCCTTGTTTCTTTAGACACAAAACACTCGCATTCTTAAGGTTGAAGGAGGTATTTGCATTTAATTACGTAACCATATTTTATATATTTTTAGTCTTCTTTAGCCTATAACAATTCTGAGCATATATTTATATAGGTTGATATTGGTTTAAGAAAAATAATTGGTATGGTCCGTTCACCTCATGATTATTTTTTGCTTCCCTGAAGATAACTCTTAGATTAATTTTGGTCTCCAGATAATTTTTAATTGGATAATTTTAACACCCATTTATAACAACAAGTATTTTATTGAAAATGATTAAATAACATTATTAAATCTCATCACACTATTTAATTAAGTAATAATTATTCCATACATTCTTATAATATCTTAACTTAATCTAGCAATAAGAAAATCTTTGCGATGTATGTAACTTTCAAAAATGTTATTGTATTTAAATAAAACTATATACATATTTTCGGATTGCTACGCGTTATTTTATAACAGATTCATTAAACTTTTAAAATAAAAATTATTTAAATAGCACATTTTTTAACTATTGGAATTTCATTTTTTAGTAATTCTTATTGCTCAGTAGCCAATTATAAAATCTTTTAGATCAAAATTACTTCTGAAACAGTTGTAAAAAGGGTTCAGACGGAACCGGCATTTATATAAGTTTGTTAATTATTTTTATTAATTCTCATCATTTTTTAACACGCTTATATTAGCTTGGGCTGTATGTATGCATGTATGTATGTAACGGAATCTTTGAGCACGATTTTCACCGGTTTCTAAACATCTGATTCTAAACATATGTCTCAAGGACCAATGACAATACAATAATTCGTTAACAATTTTCCATTATCCTTGTTAGGGCCTCCAGGATTAATATATTCTTTTCATAGATGCTCTATGATAGTGAAAGGGACAGAGCTAGTGTGCGATCTGCGCATGTCCACAAAAACCGAATTGACAAATCGTACTTAAAAATATAAAATAGGTATTAATTACAAGCGTGATTTTTAAGTTTTTTAAACTAATTTTCATCTTATAAACGACCATGACTAGTAAATAAAGTATTATAACTAAATTAAAGTTTCAGTAAATAATTCAATTACTTTGATAACAACAAACATTTTCATCTTATATTTGTATTAAAGAGGTTTAGAGTTAGATTTGAAATAATATTTATAAATAAAAAATAAAAAAGAACCTAAGAAAATAATATTTATTATTGAATATTTTTTTCTAGTATGTAGTCGTCTTCTATTCTAACAAATTTAACATTTATTCTAAAATCTAGCAATATATAAATATCAATTTTAAATATATCCACTTTTGACTTTACAACCTTTACTAAAATTTTAAACCCACCCCTTCAAACGTGTCAAAAGTGAGATTAACAGCTAACTTTATTATGTAAGTTGTTGAAACAGTTGAAAATAGTGAAAATAGAAAATTACAATGTGGAAAACCAAAAAATCATTTAAGTATTTTGAATACGTAATGCTGTACGCTATTCAAGCAAACTTTTGAAAGGAGTGAAACAGTAAATATCTAAATACGAATGTTTTATAAAATAGGGGAAAAAGAACTTAAGTTGGGTCCTTTACTTTCCTTTGAATAAATTATATTGTGAATGTGTTTTAAAAGTGAATGTATTTTAGAATATCACCATCAATTCTACCAATGCGGTCATTGCAAAAAAGATGAAAAATGAAAGTAGGAATCGAAAACAAGGATACCGTATATATCATTAGACTCAAACGACGTAAGAATTTCCGGATAATGATCCGGTATCCTTAAGGAATCGGACTTGTATTAAAATTTCAATTAATCTATATATCTACATATATCTGTAAGTTACTCAAATAAGTCTAGTAGAGTTAAGACCGCTAGAAAGATTGTTTATCATTACGACGAGGTCAACTCTCTTTAACTTATAAAAAACAAAGCTCATTATGAGCAATCCTGAAAAAAGTTCATGATTGTTTTAAAAAATTCACTCCCTCTCACTTTCATATATTTTTTTATGGGAACAAAGTGGCAATATTGTTTTATTTACAAAATAAACCCATTCCAAACTTTCCTTATAACAATGTCAATAACAATATTTTGTAATGGTTTCTATCTTCTGTATTGCTTGGCAAAATTTAAAATTCTTCGCAATAAAGATTCTTAAATTGTGTAGTTTACTAGATTTAAATTTCCTTGATTAAAATTAGGTTGTTAATGAATAGACGCATACAATATAATATTGTAAAATGAAGTGAAATAAAATGTATTTTTTTTAATAAAATTAAAAAGTTATTCTTCTGGAGATTAATGGTAAGTTTTATAAAGCTGTCAATTATGTAAAAATAGTCCCAAATTTAACATTTAGAGAAATAAACATTTTTAAGAGGAATATCGTTTAAAGTTTCTTACGGTATTATCATTTAGATTTAGTAAGTATCTTAAGATTAGGATTGTCTGTGACCTAAATCTTGTTCTGAGAAGGACCAAACTACTGAAAAATTCCATTTGCTCTAAGATGCTACCTGATCTAGAATATGCGCATCCAGTAACAACCTAAACACACCTAAATAGCAATTGATGAAATGTTATAATTTAGATAAAACTATATTTAATAAATGAAATAAAATTGTTATTAATTGACAATAGGAGCAGTACACAAAGTTTTTATTATGTGCGTTTTTCTCGAATAAGTCAAATAAGGAACAAATTGGAGTACCTCATTTTTATTTCATATAGGTACTTCTCATTTAAAACAGAAAAATAAAATTATTATATTTTGATTTTAATTTCAATGAGATAGGGCAAGAGACTTGTAAATAAACTGTAATAAGCGAAGTAGTAGCACCAGCAGGTAATGAAGAAGATTAGATATTTTTTATACATAACGAAAAATTAGGTATGCGATGCCCGTGATTACGGTTGCTGCAAAGTAAGCGAAAAGTCGAAAGTATGTAGTTTTTTAAAATAATAAAATACGCGAAGTAATCCCAAAATATTATTTTCATTCAATCGAGCTTCCTTTTAAGAAAAATTGCTTAATTTGATATATAAATTATATTACTTTTATTTCTATCACAAAATATTACTTTCATATTTCACATAATGTGTAAAGGACAACACTTTTTGCACATCAAAATATGTACTAGTTTATGTGTATTCATTAATTACATTGATGTGAATGTTACTACTTTGTATTTTCTTAGATAATTATTGTCATTTAAAATGGTTTAAGTGGTCTTTGTCAAAATAACACCCACTTAAAAAGAATTATTATTGATGCGGCCCCATCAATAATAATTAATAATTCACACTTCATGATTCGACTATAATCGAAACAATTATGGTATTAAAAGTTTTCCTAAAAATCTATTTTCATTATTTTACAAATAGCCAATATTTTTAAGTATTTAGTTGTGATCAATAAATTTTATTTACTAACTCGAAAAGTGCAAATCAGATTGAAATCTGCTTAATGCTTCTGTTTAACTTAATATATAAACATAAACATTAGGTAAGTTTATTTTCTATTAAAATAAATATGAAGTTAATAATACATATTTGTGTCTAGGAACGTCTAATATATAAATATATAACATTTTCATCTTGAGATTTAAATAATCTAAAATTGAGGAGTGCATAAAAATATTGTTATATTTGAAATAATTTTTCATTACAAGGAAATTTCAAATGTTTCCTAATAAAATTTAGTCGCTCGAGATTGAAAAAAATCAGAGATCATTATGAAAACAAGTTTTATATATTTATGTTAAATAACACTCCTTTAACTTTATAAAATTATAATTGAATAGCCGATGTGGTTCCAATTATTTTATTGAAATAATCCTACACTAAATTAAACCGATTTCATAAACTTTTCTAGGGCTTTGCTTTAAACAGCAGTTTTAGAACCTTTTGAAAACAATAGATTATAAAGGGTTACGAAATAAAGTTTTGTTACCATTTCGACCTTTTCTACTTAAAATACTACCGGAGTGCTCAAAGTTCTAACTTAAATAGGACAAAACTTTACAACTGTAATTTGCATCTTTATTTTAGACAACATGGAATTCATAAAAATAAATAACTGAGATGAATAGCATTACGAATATTTTTAATAACACTCTTATATCCAAGAATTTTTGTATAAGTTATTCAAACAATTGTTTTATTTAATGTAAAATAACTCAATCCTCCATCCATTTCCATCCGTAATATTTTATTATATTCTAATTTCCATTACCCACAATATTCTCAGCGAGTTATTCGCATTATGCAAACGCTATTATTAGACAAACTTATTACGTAACATATTTTCAGCCTTAATTTAATCTCAATTCTGAGCAGTGATTTCGTTTTTTTATTATTACTTGTTTTAAAGCTTATGAATATTAAATTTGATCACTCTAATTTTATGTTGCAACGTAAGTAATATTAACGTCTGGGTTGGAAACGAACGTTTCCGACTTCATCAGAGCTGAAGACTGGCCGTCCTCTAGTCCCGATCTTAATCCGCTGGATTATGATATATGGTCAGTTTTAGAGAGTAGGACTTGCTCTAAACGCCATGATAATTTTGACTCCCTAAAACAATTCATACGATTAGCAGTGAAGAATGTTCCCATGAAAAGAGTGCTTGCTTCTATTGATAACTGGCCTCAACGTTTAAAGGACTGTACTGCAGCCAATGGAGACCACTTCACATAAGCTTTGTATGTTTTAAATTGTTTTATATTTATGTATTAAACTTACACACTGTAAAAGTAATAAATGGTATTTGCAATAGAAAAAACATCTTTTATTTGTAACAATATTAAGACTAGACTTTGTATAAAATATATAATAATGTAATACTATTTAATTATATACACTGTACTTTTATAACATACTATATCGAGAAGCTAAAGTGCAGTAAAAAAATTACCTTCTAGATTTAACTATAACATAATTTGTAAGTTTTGTTGCAAAACTCTTAGCAATGAATATACTATTACACTGTTATAACGCTTCTAAACTGTTTTATAGTTAAATAAGGAAGATCAAAAATGAACTTCTATAAAAGACTGATTCAGTTTCTAATTAATGACAATAAAGTTTGAAAAATAAAATAAAAATAACAAACAAGTATTTACTATCAAATAATGATACTTGTAATTTTTTTTTCACAAAAAACAAATCATAATAAAAACTAGTAGCTGTGGTTGCTTAGGAAAAGTAATAGAAACGTAATCAGTAGAAGAAAGCATGAATTTTGAATACCAATCAACATTTTGTGTTCTTTATTTTTAATTTGGGTTGAAAATCTTTACTTCTATGAAACTGCTAGGTAAAAGATTATAATTAATTAGTTATAGGAACACATAAATAATTTATATTCTAAATAAAAATTCCAGGAAGATCCCAAAAGATACTTTTTATTCATCAAAACCGATTCAAAAAATAAATAAATTACAAATATTATTAATATCATGTACTTTGGTCTCGAATTTAGGTATAGTAAATACGTAATATCTTATAATTAAGAGGCAATTATTGTGTATCGTCTTAACACACTTATACAACTGATAAGCTTTCGATACTAAGTATAAAAAATATTATAAAATACTTTCCTTATACGACTAAAATGTTTTATAAATACTTAAATACAATAATCTTTTTCTTATGTCAAAGGTGGAAAACGAGCAGACGCCCTTGAAGGGCAGTAGTGACCGTCGCCCATGGACATCCGCAAAGTAGATGTTACCGATGCATTGCCAACCTTGATTGTTGATTAAAAGGGAGGGGTGAGAATAGGGAAATAGCAGGAAAGGGAGGGAATATGCAAAAGGCAACTGGCTCTCTCACGCATCGAACGAAACGCAGCCACTAAAGGCTACTTCACGCCTATCTACTGTGAGAGGAACTTTTTTGCATGGGCCACTATTAAAACGAAGCCACAAAATAATGAAAGTACAAAAATCACAACATTAAAAAAGAATAAAAATACAAAAGAAGAAGTAAGAAGATAAGGCTTGGCTGTTATACAGTACTTAGGTATAACATAAAAAAAATGTACAAAAAAATAAATTCGAAATTTAACAAAAACGCAAAAATACAGTTAAACTTTATATTGATAAATAAAATTTCACACTTAAAATTTGTTTGGATTTTCAATTAAACATAATCACAAAATGTATATAAATTCAAACTTGCGACCTTCTAAATAATATTTTGTTGATTTCTAATGAGCGTCATTTAAATTAAACCTTGGTAAATTTTTTGGCGACTTTGTTTATAAAAAATATCATGCACCCATCAAGTGTATTTTTTATACCCTCAATCACTACTGATAACAATTACTCGAACACGTTAATGATATTTTTTATTGCTACATTTCGAAATAAAATACTTTGGGGTTCCAAAAGATCGCATAGGCTATAATATGAAATAAATTTTAAGAAAATAAATGATAAAAATCCCTGTTTATGTATAAAAATAATTTTTTGTACATGAAATGAATCATACTTTATATTAAATCTTTAAATTCGAACAAAATTTGTTTCTCAACACATACATACATACATACAAACAACAAATGTGATGAGTATTTTTGCAAATCACTGTAGATAAACTCAATGTGAGCCGTCTTATCGCTGCCTAATAATAATGTTCTACTGTATGTTGTTTTTATGAAATAACAAATAACATGCACGAAACATGCAAACTTCAAGTGGGTTTGTTTTGCTCAAATTTGATGCAATGTAAACATTAAAATTTTGTTTCAGATTTCCGAGTAGGTACGGATTAACAAAATTAATTAAATATTCTTAATAGTTTTTGAAAAAAATACAACATAAAAATATTTTGTTTTCAAAAAAATTTAAGTTTCAATTATAAGTAACATAAACTCACAAATAAATCAATTGCAAATACAGGCAACGTCAGGGTAAGAAGCTTATATAACATACGTGAAGGAAGTTAATTAAAGTAAGTGGTATAATCTTTTTGAACTCTGTATGTTGATATGTATAATATAGGAGATAAGTATACGTTTTGCTCCAAACAATTCTATTTCATATTAATAGTTCTTGACTAATCTTCAATAAGTCTTGTAGCTTGTCTCATAAAGAGCAACATTTTTGTAACTGTGACAATTAATATAACTACATATAAAACTACAATTCAACTTGCGTAGTTGAATATTCAAATTTAAGGTGACACTAGATTGGAAGAATAGATATTGATAAAGGTATCTTATAATAAAAAAAACTGATTTATTATAAATAATTGAAAGTAAAAAGTAATTATTTAAAAATTATTTTTAAAAGGTATTTTTATTATATTATAAGGGTTAAATCTTACCAACCAAACCCTTATACTTTAACCTTTTATTACCTAATACTACTTTTCGTGGAAGTACAATAATTTCAAGGCAATAAAATTCGAAATTGTTGTTTTTTCTATATATCGGTAATATAAAAATTAATGTTTTGTTTTTACTTAATTTTTATTCAAATTAATTTTATTTCTAATTTTAATATTGACTTCTATATTTCATTGATGAGTTGTCCGTATTTTATTTGAAAATTATTTTAATTGAATTTTATTTTCAGTTTAATATATGACATACTATAATGACTCAATACAAAAAGGTGGTTATAATTATTTTGTTGATGCTTAAAAGAATTGAATCGGCTAGAATTTTAGCATATTTCCCCACACCTTCTATAAGTCATCAAGTCGTATTCAGACCCATTACACAAGAACTAGCTAGAAGAGGACATGAAGTTGTTGTTGTCACGACAGACCCAGTCTTCCCGAAGGGTAAAACACCAGCAAATCTAACTGAAATAGACGTTCACGACATATCATATGAAAGTTGGAAAGAATTTTTAGAAATGAAGCAAGGAAAGAAAGAAGACCTATGGCGACAAATGGAAGTAGCGATGGAAAGACTTGCCACTATTTTTGATTTGCAAATGCAAGTTCCTGAAGTAAAAGAAGTTGTAGATAAAGAGGGAAAATATTACGATTTATTATTGCTTGAAGCTTGTCACAAATCAGTTATGGGATTAATGCATAAGTTAGATATTCCTGCTATTCAAATAAGTTCCTTTGGAGCCTTTGATTACCATTATGAAGCTTTGGGGTCACCAATACATCCAATTTTATATCCTGCTCCTATAAGGCAGAGGTTATACAACCTAACTTTTATCGAAAAGGTCATGGAATATCATGCACACCTAAAATTTCAATGGTTGCAATCTAAAACCACTGAATATGATAATGTTATTGTTAAAAAAATATTTGGAAAAGACGTTCCACCAGTAGAAGAATTACAAAATAGAGTTAAAATGTTATTTGTGAATGAACATAAGATTTGGAGTGACAATCATCCTGTCTCTTCAAATATTATTTTTATCGGAGGAATTCATACTAGTCCATCAAAACAGTTACCTCAAGTAAGAAAATTAAGTCACTATCAATAGAATGTATTCCTTATTTTTATTTAAGTATCTATAACACTTTTCAAATTGTAGGAATTAAAAGAATATTTGGATTCCTCTAAAAATGGGATAATTTATGTAAGTTTTGGTACTAACGTACTACCATCACTGTTACCACCTGAAAAAATAAGAATAATGACAACCGTATTGTCAAAATTACCTTACGATGTTCTATGGAAATGGGATAAAGATGTACTTCCAGGAAAGTCAAAAAACATTAAAATTGCAAAATGGTTCCCACAGGCAGATTTGCTAAGTATGTTGTTTCCATTAGTACCATTTTCATTCTTTCATAGTTGACGCATTCCTATTTGAATGATTCCAAAAGTGGAAATATTGTGTAAAAGCATAAATATCGTGTTTAAGTAAATAGTAGAAGGAAATATGCCTTCTTTACTATGCTGACAGAGACGTCATCAATAAGGGGGATTGTGCAAATCTTAACTCCAAACGTCAAACATCTCATAATCACACATAATATTTTTTACTTCTGAAATTATTCCCAATAATCGACCATGGGGCTATTTTATTATGTTAATAAAGGAGTCGTACCATTAAACTATTAATTATTATTAATAATAATAATAATAATAATTTATTTTTATCTCAGACATAGTCCATATTTAAATATTAGTAATACATGTCAACCTTATAACTAATGTTAGTAAAAGCAAATGATAGTAATAATAATAATAATAAAAACAAACAAAACAAAACAGAGACAAACACAAAAGACAAAAATCGCTATTTTTAGGAAGCGTGTAGCCGTAAATGTCTTGTAAAGAATTTAATTAGGCTTTTATTTTGTTTTAGAACATCCAAATATAAAACTTTTTATAACACAAGGCGGCTTACAATCTACTGACGAAGCTATAAATGCTGCAGTGCCGTTATGTGGTATACCTATAATCGGTGATCAATGGTATAATGCAGAAAAATATGTTCGTCATAAAATAGGCAAACAGTTGGAAATAGAAAAACTCACAGAGACAGAATTTGAAGAAGCTGTTAAAAGTTTGATTGAAGATAAAAGGTAAACAATTATTTTGACTTAATTAAGTAAATTATTTGTTTATAGTTTCTATATCTTTTATATTTTTTAGCTATAAGAACAATATTTTAAGACTGAGGTCTCTTATGAGGGATCATCCCATAAGCCCTTTAAATCTCAGTATATTTTGGATTGAACATGTCATCAAGTATGGAGGAGACCATCTTGAGCCGCCAGCAGCTCATATGTCATGGATTGAATACTACGAAGTGAAACTAATTGTAATAGCTTCAATTATTCTATTATCAACTTTAGTCGCACTTGTTTTAATAAGTAGATTAGCAATTAATTTCCTTCTTAAAAGATGTAAACTCTATATAAGAATTAAAAGTGAATAAGTTTGACATAATTATATTTCAAATAATTATATATATTTTAGTCTTTTCGTAACTATACGACATTATTTATATGAAATTTTTAATAAGGATACTTTCTAAGAAAAATGTACTCAATCGAAATCGTATCACGTATCTTTTTATTTACTCCTAACCATGACAGTTGAGAGCTAAAATAACAACTAAGTAAAACATAAAAAAATTACGAAAGTTTTTAAAACAATAAATTATTCATTACAAATATGCATGATATAATTGGCCAATGATTGGGTGACTATTGGATTATAAGAGTTTTATACGGCTAACAAACATTAGGCTTTAATTAGTTTTAAATTTTGACTTATTTTTTAAAATTGGCCTTTCCTCGTCTATGATTTTAATACAACCTTTTTGTCAAAGTTAAATACATGCGTCATAAAGACGTTGAATTTGTGGCTCAGGCTTACGCTGTAGGCTGCTTCATGAACTTTATTCAGAGATCATAATAGTTTGGGATGAGTCTAAAAAGGCCATGGTAGCTTTATAAACACCTAAGAAATTCCAAGAGATATATTCTGGGAAAATCGCACGATGACGTCGTTACTTCACTCCCAAAAATAAAGATGCCCCAGAGCTGCAGTCCGGATATATTTATTAAAGCTCTTTGTGGTAATAGAGCTTACGGTTCCTAATAAAACCAACATCCTCAGATCATGTCATCAGGGTCAATAAGAATTACGAGCTCTCTATATAACTCACTAAGAAGAGGTTCGCTGTAAATGTGTACGCGGTAGAAGAAGGAGCTACAATTATAACAGCTAAATCTTTTTACAACCTACTTGAACGACTTGGGACTGTCCGGAACTAATATCAATTTATTCTTGGAACGTACTTTGAGGGTGTACTTTCTTTAAAGTACTTTGAAGGTTCTTTTCAAATTTGTTTAGATAGAGAGAGGAGCTTATACGGTAGAGGTGAACGTTTAACGCGCGTTAGATAGAGGTCCGTTAAACCTACACCTGTGTCGCAAGTTCCAGGCACTATTGGAGCTGCTCTCCCTACAACGCGAAGAACCCGCAAGGTGATTTCATTGAATGATCAAAAGTTTCGTCTCATTACTTAATGTAGCTTAACTTAACTGATATTAAAACTTAACTTAACTGATATTAAAATTCTATATCTTTATATTACTTACTGTGATAATGATATTAATATTTTGGAAGTGATATTGTGTAGATTTGCTGTGGAGTGATTAAGACAAATATCTCTCGACTATTCCCATCTGACTTATCATCCTAAGTGGGTGAATTCTGTCTTCTATAGAGACGTATCTCTGTTTTTATTTATCTATGGTTATAAATGTATTTAGTTTTATAATATGAATGAATTGCATCAATATCCTAAACCTGATTGTTAATACATATATACATACACATGTAGATATAATATTGAATATTATCGCTGTTTAAACCAATAAATAAATAACTATGCAATAAATTACTATTAATATTAATAGTTTTTAATGAGTGCCTGAAAAAAGTGCTACGATCAGATTAATGCACAACTAATGATAATTAATCCCTTAGTACGAAACGAAGGATTATAATTTATTTTTATGACTTGCAATCACATAGATACTCTTGAAATTATTTTATGACTCAGTTTTATTTTTTCCATCATGGATAATTTTAACATCTACTTATGACATCAGGTCTCTGATAAGAATACTACATAACATTATGAAATGTTTTAATCCCTACTAATATTATAAATGCGAAATAACTATGTCTATCTGTCTGTTTGTAACGCTTTCACGCCTAAACCACTGAACAGATTTTAATGAAATTTAGTATAGATATAGAGTTGACCTTGAGAAAGAACATAGAATAGTTTTTATCCCAGACTTTTGAAAGGTTCTCTTGAAAACGCGATATAACCGAATTCCACGCAGGCGAAGCTGCGGGCGGAAAGCTAGTGTTGATATATTACAATTACATATTCAAACTCATCACATCTGCCTTTCATCTATTTAATTAAACATTATTTCTTGGATACTTTAAATAACACAAAATTATGACAGTTTTTTGTAAATAAAGTAGCTACTTTCCTTCTATTTATTTATTGAGATAGTTATATGATTATAACAGCAATTGATCCTCTCAATGCAGTTTTAAAACTAATCTCGTCAAGGTCTGCAAATATTGGCAAAGATATCGTTCCCGATGAATCACATGTAATTTTTGTTGCCCTACAGTTTTTAATATTATGCTTTAGAGCTATGAAAAATTTTAGTATTTCATATAAACAAGGTCCACAGATCTTTTAATATAATATCAATTGAATACAAATATCTTTTAATTTCAAGTCTCGTTTTATCTTATTGTTCTTAACATGAATTATGACATGTAAACTCTAGGAATTTTATTTATTATTTTATTCTTAAACAGTAGCTAATTATAAAATCGTTTTAATAAAGGTCACAACAATTGTAATATGAGTACGGACGTAACCGATGATCTATAATATTATAACTAATATATAATTGTTATTAACCTTCATTAATTTTCTTATAAACGCCAATGACTAGTGAACATAGCGTTATTAGTTAATAGCAGTATCTGGATGTTATTGCACACTCTCAAAGTGAATAAAAGTGTCAGTGTAATAAATAATTTAACTGTGTAAGTATAAACCGTTTCACTTTATATTTTATTTATGAGGTTTATATTTAGACTGTAAATAATATTTAATAATGAGGAAAAAACAGAGCCTTTGTTTATTTCAAGACATCCATAGGATTAACTAAAGGATTAATATTTATCATGGATATTTTTAGTCCTACATTATTATTGGTTTCCATTTATGTTCAATATATGTATTAAGATGTCAAATTCGCTTCTTTTCAATTCTAACAAATTTACAAAGTATCCCTTGATCCGGGGCTTACAAATATAAACATTAAATTTATCCACTTTTTATTTAACTACCATAACTGAGATTTTAAAACCACTCTTTGAAAGGTGTCAAGAGTACAGTCAACGGATTACTTTATTATGTAAATGAATGTAAAAAAAGTAAAAGTTATTTACATATTTCAGTTGAAGCTGGTGAAAGTAGAAAATAACAATGTGGATAACCAAAAACACTGTAGTATTTATTGTGTTATTGTTAAGGGGAATGGAAGGTGCGAGAATTTTAGCATATTTCCCCACACCTTCTATAAGTCATCAAGTCGTATTCAGACCCATTACACAAGAACTAGCTAGAAGAGGACATGAAGTTGTTGTTGTCACGACAGACCCAGCCTTCCCGAAAGGTCAAACACTAGCAAATCTAACTGAAATAGACGTTCACGACTTATCATATGAAAGTTGGCAAGAATTTTTGAATATTAAGCAAGGAAACAAAGAAAATATTTGGTCACAAATGAAGCTTATTTCGGAAAGGTTTGCTTTTGTCTTCTACTTACAAATGCAAAATCCTAAAGTACAGGAAATTATTGGAAAGGACAGAAAATTTTACGACTTATTATTAATTGAAGCTTGTCAGAAGACTGCTTTGGGTTTAATTCATAAATTTGATGCTCCTGCTATCCAGTTAAGTTCCTTTGGCGCTTTTCATTTCCATTATGGAGCTCTGGGAGCACCTATTCATCCAATTTTATATCCGGTACCCGCCAGACAGAGGTTATACAATCTTACTCTAATAGAAAGGGTCATGGAATATTATGCACACTTAAAAATTTATAACATATTCTCTGATACTATGAAATATGACAATTATATTGTTAAAAAAATATTTGGGGAAGAAGTTCCACTAGTTGAAGAATTACAAAATAGAGTTAAAATGTTATTTGTAAATGAACATCCGATTTGGAGTGACAATCGTCCTGTTCCGCCAAATATTATATTTATGGGAGGCATTCAGCAAATCCCAACGAAGGAATTACCGAAGGTATGATTTAGTCACGGTATAAATATCTAGAGAAAAACAAAGATCCTAGTCTTAAATGGACATATACTTACCTACTTATCAAAGAAATTATTCATAAATCCTTATAAATTGCAGGAGCTCAAAGAATATTTGGACAAATCTAAAAATGGTGTTATATATATCAGCTTTGGAACAAACGTGATACCCTCGCTTCTGCCGCAAGAGAAAATTAAAATTATGACAACCGTATTGTCAAAATTACCTTACGATGTTCTATGGAAATGGGATAAAGATGAACTTCCAGGAAAGTCAAAAAACATAAAAATTGCAAAATGGTTCCCACAACCCGATCTGCTCAGTAAGTTAAAAAAAAAAAAATCGAGATAGAAATCGTGCTCCTTTTCAAAATTATCTGGAAATTTCTTCTTATTTCCTACTCAACACCGTAACGTAACATTTGGAGTATCAAATTCACTCCTGTTCTATATGTCATCTAGTAAAATTTATTTATTCTGAACTTTATTTCTTATTCCAGAACATCCAAGAGTCAAACTTTTTATCACACAAGCAGGATTACAATCTACTGATGAAGCGATAAATGCTGCAGTTCCTGTTATCGGTATGCCCGTTTTAGGTGACCAATGGTACAATGCAGAAAAATACGTCCATCATAAAATAGGAAAACAGTTAGAAATTGCAAAACTTACGGCCGTGGAATTCGAAGAGGCAATTAAAACTCTAATTGAAGATATTACGTAAGTTTCTTCATAAAAACATAATAAATATAATTATATATACTAATTCTTAATGTTTATTCGCAGCTATAAAAATAATATTCTGAAACTGAGGTCTCTTATGAGGGATTATCCCATAAGCCCTTTAAATCTCAGTGTATTTTGGATTGAACATGTCATCAAGTATGGAGGAGACCATCTTGAGCCGCCAGCAGCTCATATGTCATGGATTGAATACTACGAAGTGAAACTTATTTTAATAGGGATGGTTATAATACTTTTAGTTTTAGTCATATTTGTAGCTATAAGTAGATTAGTAATTAATTTCATCCTTAGCTATTTAAAAATGGCAAAGAAAGAAAAAAATAATTAAAAATGCTTATATTTACATCTAATTGGACCCATTATTTGTTTGAAGACAAATATGTAACAGATAAATATTGTTTTGCAATCATACTAAAATTATACGAGATAAATTTATTTTACTTTATTTTTATCGACACGAGAAAAGAATTTTCTATATAAAGTAAACTTGGGATGGGAAATAAAATAATTAATGAAGTAAATACATTGTATAACCCTATCTGAATGAAGTCACATTTTGTAATAAAATACATGTATAAATTTAATACTGAAGATGAATTTGAGCCATTTATTAGAAACTCGTAATGTGTATTTAAAAAGAAAAACAATGAAAGATTAAAAAAATAATGTAAAACGTGTAGATACTATTATTGACACAAAGTAAACAATTTGATATTATAGACTTAGGGAACACACTTTTAATTCGAACTGAACCTTTATATTCCCGAACGCATCCGAAATGATATTAAAGCGATGACGCTTGGTTTGTTCGCTTTTACGCGGGAAAGTATTTCGTTAAAACGACTGATATTTTTGTAAATTGAATTTAACTTATCTTAGGTGTATTGGGTTAAGATAATAATAAGGTTGTTCTAGTTAAGGTTTTATTTCTTATCTTAAAGTACTTGCTTTATAAGAAAACTATATTTATATAATGATTTTGTTAAAAACCTAAATGTAGTATATATTTCCACCTGCCTTAATTTTAACCTTTTTTTTAATTGATTAACTTGCTTTAAATTACACTTTTTATACTCTTCCAATGGTTCATAAATATACTATTCAGTATGTACTTAAAATATATTATTTTTCATTTTAACAAAATTTGTATGTGAGTTACAACAGCAAATGTTTTCTAGGGACACTCGTTTTTTGACATAAAGTTAATTATAATGTATCTTAAACTTGTTCTTAATCTTAATTCTGTGATGTTCCATTATTAAAAGGTATATATAAAATCCTATGCATCCGTCACCAAAAATGAGGTGAGATTTCAATTCTTTTGGACTTAACAAACAAGTTAAGATATTTAATAAAACCGTTTGGAAAATTTAAATATCATATTAGGTACATAAATAAAAACAAAATAATAATCCAATTTAATTGTGCTGTTATTCGAATTTATTAGTTTTTATATAAGAATATATTTTATGGCCTTTATTATAATAGAAATATATTTAGTGATGGTTGTCTAAGTTTTGCTTTATTCATTTTATATTTTTATAACTATTTAAATGGTCTCTAACACTAAGATTATCTCTAGAAACCTCTAATTGCCGATAGGACCACCCATCCAAGTACTGACCGCGCTCGACGTTGATTAACTTCGGTGGTTGCCGATAAGACCGACTTATGCCTTATATCCTTTTCTTTCCTTATTGTAATTTTTTTTGTCTATTAGTATCCCAATAATTTTGTGACATCCTATGTACGATCAAAGATACTTTCCTTTCGCTGTATCTTTATTATTTTAATGTAATAATTTATTTCTTTATCTGCTACAGCAAAAATTAAATAAGTATTTTTTATAAAAGTAATATTTCAAGGCAAATAAATATTTTATTACTTCTTATACTCCACAATTTAGTATAAAATAATTAAAAAATACATAAATCCACTATGTAAACCTCGTTGTTGAATATGATCAATTAGTGCAATTTCGCTTTAAATGTTAGCCCCTTGTAAAAGGATTAATTGGGAGCCATAATCTATGTGTATTTAGCAATGACTATGACGTGCATTATCAGTTTTATAACTAATAAGGTATTATTTCGTTATTAAATCATAATTAATTATATATAAATAATATAAATACTTATTTAATTTTATTTCTCTTGATTCTTAATATCTTGGAAAATAAAAAGAAAACTGTTAGTAAATATTATAAACACAGAACTATATGAGTGGAATAATATTATTGAAAAAGATTATATTATATAATTCCATATACTGATGTTTAATAAAACCAAAATATGATCTATTGCTTAAGTTGAGATAGTGCAAGTACCATCCTAAACAATCTCAGATCCGAAATGCCACCTGGGTGGTCCTTTAATCTTCAAATAAACACATCTTTCCCAAAACTGAATACTAAAAAACAAATAAAACTTCTGCAAAATCCTGTTATGAACATATTTGATATTTTTTCTTTGTAGGTGTTATAAATTATATATTTAGCAAAAACGATTTCACCAAAACTTGACACTAAAACAACAAATATGATTAAACAATTGGTAACATTTGTGCTGGAGAAACGAATGGGTTCATAGAGAGATGTAATCTCGTAATATATCATGTAAATGTATTTTTCTTTAATGCTGTGAAGGAGTCGTCATTAGTCATGTCACTTCAGAGATATTGAACATCTATTGTATAAAGATCAATAGAATAACTTATAAAGAAAATTCTTCTTGTGTACTAAACAAAGTGTTTTATATTTCAGATATACTATTGTAAATAAATTAATATACCCTAAAGAAAATAAATATACCCTAAAGAGTAATAAGATGTTGGATTAAATCAAAATGGTTAAAGCCGAACATTTGTACACAATCCCATAGGTATTTCATATTCAATCAATTATATATTCCATTATGTTACACAGTATTAGTTCGGTATTTAGTTCCAATCAAACTTAATTTTAATATTTTACGTATACTGATGTTTCTGGAGATTATTTTTAATTTATGATTGCATCATTGAAATAATTCTGAGCATTTGTATAAATTACTTAATTAAGTAGTAAATGCTTTAGTTTGTTATCGAATATAATTATAAAAACTATGGAAAGTATTAAATACTTAAATATATATTTCTTTTATTATCATTATTTCGAGGGATTAGTGTGTATTATTGGTAATAATTATTTGTAATAACTTAAATTGTGATGTTCTTTATAATTCTAAGGTTAACATTATTTATATTCTGATATTTATGGGATATTCTTATGATATTTAACCAGAGACATCTCTTTATTTGTTATAATGGTGTAACTTAATGTTAAAAATATTTCTGTGCCGTAATTTAATGTCCAAATACTTAACAATTGGTCTAATAATTTATAATCAGACTCTGGCATGTTTTAAGTATTGTTAAGAGTTAAAGTTGAAACACTTATGAGGGAAACAAGCGCCCTCTGTATGACAACTTATCCTCACCTAAATATGTTACCATTGAATATTATAAACAGGATGCAAGTGATAGACCGGGGATTTTGTTACGAGTTGTGGAGCAAAAACCATTTAAGTGGAAGTCTAATTTATTTCTAACAGTATAAATAAAAATGGAATAGTAATGCATATTAAGTTAAAGAATAAAAATATTTTCTTTCAATACTAGAAGGGTTATATCTTTTTTTATACTAAAGACGGCTTCAACGCACTATGGGATAATCGCGTATGTTTCGTCTCAAAACTCCCTATCTCAGTTATTTCAAAACTGAATGATCTGTAATTATGCACACATATACATGAAAGTATAAAGTTTAATAGAAAAGTTATAACTTTGAAAATTATGTTTATTAATTAAATATGTTTTGGCACCGTGTCAGAAAAGCTACAACTTTTTTATTTCTTTGTATACACTTAAGTATAAAGATCGTAATACAACAAATATCACATCATTGAACATTAGTTAGCATTGATGCCTTTTTATAAACATTATGGTTTGCAATAAATAATTTAAAAAATATATAAAAGAAAGATTATTTATAAGACTAAATGAATTAATTAGTTTTACTCCATAACAACGATTTTAATGTGAAACGTTTGAGACGGCCTTGTATGGGGCTTTCCCCTATAATTTGTGACAGCCTATCTGATGGAGGTAGTGCCGTCGCCCATGGACACTCGTAATATAAAAGATGTTGTGGATGTATCGCCACCCTTGTTTAGGGAAGAAGGGAAGGAAAATAAGGGGAAAGGGAAGGAAAAGGGAAAGAGCAACCGGCTGTCTCGCTCATCGGACGAAACACAGCCATTAAGGGCTACTTCACGCCGATCTTCTGTGAGAAGTTGATACTTCCCCGGTCGAGCCAGCCCATGTTCGAGCTGCAGTAACTTGACCACTACTAGCCTTACCATCTACATACATCTAACTAGTTTGCTATGGAAAATGTTTAGATATATTCTTGGATTGTGGGTAACCTTAATAATTTACTTTAGTAATGTTCGCTTTTTTATAATTTAAAATTTAATATTGTTACCACCTTAATCTTACGCAGCATATGATAAATATCACATTGGCGTTATTAGGCCTAAGTTTAAATGTAAAATCTTCAGGATAGGGTTTCTTCGGTAAAAATGAGCAACATAGATAGATTAACACCCGGAGCTACTTTAAAGAGGGATTTCCTCTCGCCTCCAGAAGTTCATTAATGTAATTTAACTATGAATTGTACCTAATTAACCAAATAAAGAGATTGTTTAAATGACATTTAAAGTTATATAAATATCCAGCCTATACCCAGATGTATACGAAATTTTAGATGACATTCAGAATGGAAAAAAATGATAATTAATATTCATTCAGAATCTTTAATCATAATAACACCTAAAATAAAGAAAATTATTCATTCATGAGTTCAATATATAAATTAAACATTTAGTACAATTCAAATCATTGCGTTTAGATCACTACGCTTTGGTTTGAAAATAGCAGTCTATTAATTTTTTATCCCTCACATTTAAAATAGAAATAGAATGTAGTTAAACTGAATATTAATTAAAAATAAGTAAAAATTTCTTCTGCTTCGTTTTTATTAATAACATACAATAGACACCAGATATATATGAAAACCAGACAGATAATGGAAACTAAAATTAGATTTTATATAACATTCCAAAGCTTCAATTTGTATGTTTCTAAAATGCAACAATATACAAAACATCTCACCGACGTCAGTGTGTAGTGGCCTTTGCAAAGTGAGCCACTCACTCAACTATGAAATAAATAAAATGGATATGGCTTTCAAAATTTTATGGAAGAACACCAAATTGCAAAAAAGTGTAGCAATAATGTTTAATAGTAAATTCCAGTACAAACTTTTCTGATTCAGTTTTAAATTTTCAATATAATATAAAGTATAAATCCTTACAATTGTGAAATAATTCCACAAACTACTATTCAAGCGTGTACTACATAGTAGGTATGTAGAGAATTTACTCGTTTTACTTTACAGATATGTTCATTAAAAACAAAAAAAAAATAGTGAAGAGAATTTCGAGAACAATTTTATCAATTAAATTGTGAAATTTGGTTCTATAAATTAAAAAAAACAAATGGAAAATCTTTTTTACAACTTTATTTCCTTGTGAACAAATTAATTCTTTCAGTGAATTTAAATAAATAAAACAAAAATACTATTTTCTGATTTTCTCTATGTCGTGTATGTGTATGTAATATGTTCTATATAATGATTCATTGTAACAAAGATCACAACAAGTTGCATACTGGATGTGTTTAAAATATTAGTATTCCAGGTCGAACGAAGATAATATATATATTTTTTTGGTTTGTTATATTTGCTGACCATAGCGAGGCCTTTCCAGAAATATATACATCAATGATCAGTCCTCTTGAGTTATAGTAGGGGCCATTGTGAACAACAGCCCATGTTGTAAGAATGGAAGGTTGTTTAAAAATCTTTAAAATAGCAACGGAAAAATCTATGATCTTAGACTAAAATGAATCTCTAATAAATTCTTATTTTCAAGTAACTGTCTGCTGTAAGTGAGTTAATATTGAATCATTATTTTCTTTAATAATATAATATGATCGTTAATTTATTAAAAGATGTGTTATTTAATACAGAATACGATTGCTACCAGAAAGTAATGCTTGTCAAAAATGTCTATATCATATTACAGATACAGAAACACCATACTTTACATTGAATTCGCTCATGATTTTACTGTTACTGATATTACTAATATTTTATGTTGTTAGGTTAGTTCTTTACTTTTAAATAGCCCTAAATTGAATTAGTAAAGATCATAAAGATCAGTGAACACAATCGCTATTAACGATATGCAAAATATTAATAAATATACACAAACTTCAACTTCAACTGCGCAACAAATTTACTGTTAATTGACCTTCTTACGTACTATGACAATAGCAACGTTTTCTTACCTGACTTGCCAAACGATTGGTTTACAAAGAGGTAATTGAATAGATAAGACTCATTATAACGACATCGACATAACGACATTAGCATTCAAATAACTTTAGTAATAATCCGTTTTATTATCGTCAATATCTGCCCATCAATCATTTGAACAATTTAATACCAAACAAACGCAACAATTTCAACTTTATTTCAATTTACAGGAAAATTTTTTTGCTTCAACCCTTTGATATTAACAACCAAAAATTGTTTACACATAGTAAAATTACACAAAATGTAATGAAACAATATTACACATTTTCAGTGAGGACGTCGTTTTATAAAAATGTATATCTATAGTAAGTATGTATAATTTTTTGTAGTCATAATATAATTTCAATAAATTTTTTTGTGATAAGTTGTCGGGAATTTATCACAATTAAGGATTGGTTGATTATTTTCATTATTGACTAAGTATTATGTATTATAATATCTAATTTATACGTATTTAAGTCAGTGGTGGCCCACTGGTTTAAAGACCCGCCCGTCATGCAAGAGGGCGCGGATTTGATCCTGGCAAGTACCAATGTCACTTTTACGAGTCATATGTACTTTCTTAGAGTATTTAAACATCACTGATAAATGCATTCCCAAAAAGAGGGTTGATGTCAGGCAGGCGGCCGGTCGTAAAAACAATTAGCCAAAACTATTCACAACATGTAAGGCAGACCCTGACTAAAGCTTTGAAATTGCCAGATAGAAGAGAACTAATTTATACGTATTTATATCGGAAAGTTATAGTAAAGCTTATGAACTCTAAAGCTTCTAAAACTGCTGACATCGTAAGTTACAAACAAAAATATCCTGTATCCAAACGTTCATATGAGCATTATCGTGATAATTTAGATCGTTTGTTTCACGTCCATTACGATTCACAGTATCATTCAATTACGATCCCTACATATGCAGATATAAGAATCGAATTCGTTTAAATGATAAAGGAATGATTTATCGGGTATAGGCCATTCGTGTATAATCTGCCGCTATTAACGCTAAGCTAAACATCTGCTCACTGTGTATTATAATCCAGAATCATAATATTTCTGGATTATTTTGTTTCATATTCAAAATAATACAATACTTATTGATGTATATACAAATTAAATGGCGGTAGAAATATTTATTTCAGATTACAATTACTGGCCCAAATAGTTACCAAACATTTGATATTAAAACAGCAACTGTTTCCTATTTTAAATTAAAATATAGTGATTAAAATTCTACCCATACACATGACGCTTTTTAGGAGAAAATGGCTTATACAAAACTTATTACCGTTATTTTAACTTCTTTTTCTAAATCTTTATTTTAAGTACTTATTGCAAGTTTTAGGTCTTATATAAAAATCAACATTTATTTTGTGATAAATTAAATCTATTATCATACTGTACCACCTGTTGTTTATTTGGAAAAATACTGGAAATAATTTATTGCTTTAGTAAAAAACCAAATCAAACTGCACACTTATTGCGTAAAGATATTAATAAATTAATATCTAAGTCTGTCGTGATAGTCATACATCTGATTATGAAATTAATCAATTTGTATATCGTGCGTAACTGATTTACGCAGAAGATATGATATCTCTTGTTTTTTAAAGGTCTTGTTTTATAATTAAACATAGAATTTTTGCTTCATTTTACAATACTATACAATAAAGAAAAGAAAAAGATAGTTTTATTAATAAGCGATACAACTTTCTCAGAAACGTATTTGAAATTTTTGTCAGTTTTTTTTTGTTTCAAATAAATACATGTAAATACGCTAGGTAACAAGCAACTATTTCTTAAACCTTTTGTATATGAGGAACCCTTAAAAATTCACTTCACATTAACTGAAGAGAGAAGACGCCTTGAAAATAAATTGACCTTTTATTCAGTACTAACTATTATATAATCTCTGCCAAATCTGTCAACAGATATCTTTATATTGTATAGTTCGTTGCAACTTAGGTTTTTATTATTTAAAATGTAAAATTGTAAAGTCATGAAACAATAAAGGAAAATCACAAGTGGATAGTTATCAAAGACATTGCATTTGTCAAGTACAATATGATTGTGCAAAATCGCTTTGATTTACTTTTTAATTTTATTTTTTACACAGTACACAGTACAAGGTATGGAAAATATGAACGAGTTATTTTTTAATTATTAAATTAATGATAATAGAAAAATAAAATTGTTGTATTTGTATTTTTTTTTAATTCGTGTTTGAAACAACAGCTCGCGTAATTTACCGGATTTAATCTATTTGTCTCAAGGCCACTTACTTATCAAATTTTAAATAGTTATGTAATAGTTACAAAGTACTATCTACAATACATATAAAATATACTATCTTTTATCTCTAATTAGTAATACTTATAACTGTATTATGTTTAATATATTACTACTACATATATGCCACTTCTATTAATTCACAAGTATATTATTCAAACAATAATAATTAAATATATGAGTATTATAAACAAATATTAACTTTGGGTATCTTAAACGAACAAAATCAGACAAAAAATAATGAAATAGTGAATGACAAATTCACACGTACCTACTTTTTCTGTAACAATATAACATAAAAATACTCGTATATTTCATACAATAGTCAGTTACTCTTAATTTTAATAATCATTCTACATTTATGATAAACATAGTACAAAACTAATTGTATTATGAACACAACGGCTACTAAAACTATTATTAATATACTTAAAATAATTAAAACAAGCTTAACTTCATAGTATTCAACCCAAGACATGTTAGCAGCAGGCGCTGTTAGATGGTCTCCTCCATACTTTATAACATGCTCTATCCACCATACAGTTAGATTTAAAGGATCAATTGGATATTCCCTCATTACTCCCCTGAGCCTTAACATATTGTTTTTGTAACTAAAAATCAAAGCAAAAGGTAATTTAGGTTTTGTAATGAGAACATTTTAATACGGATTTTTATTAAAATGTTCTCATTACAAAACCTAAATTACCTTTTATCCTGTATCACAGTATTGATAGCATTTTTAAATTCATTTTCTGTTAAAGTAGTAATGTCAAATTGCATTCCTATTTTGTGGTGCGTATATTTTTCTACATTATACCACTGGTCGCCTAACATAGGAATACCGATAACAGGTACTGCAGCATCTATAGCTTCATCAGTGGATTGTAATCCACCCTGAGTAATAAATAACTTGATGTTAGGATGTTCTGAAAAATTAATAAATAAGTAATGAAATAAAAATTTTAGAGATTACACTTTTTTCGGTATGATCAAATTTTAATTCCTCTATAATTTGATTCTATACAATAGCTGTATTCCACTTCGATCGATATATTTTCTTTCAAAATGTATAAATACTTACTTAGTAAATCAGCCTGTGGAAACCATTTAGAAAATTTGATATTTTTCGATTGTACTGGAAGTTCTTCACTGTCCCATTTCCATAAAACATTATAGGGTAATTTGGACAAAGCATTAGTCATAACTTTGATTTTGTTTGGTGGTAGAAGTGACGGTAGCACATTAGTCCCAAAACTGACATATATTACACCATGTTTTGAGGTGTCTAAATATTGTTTAATATCCTTAAAACAATATATATTTTGTTTAAACAATATATTATTTACGAACTAAATGAGACTATTAATGTTACCACGACTTACTATAGGTAATTCCTTAACTTCGGGACGATAAATGCCTCCCATGTAAATAATATTTGGAGGGACTGGGTGGTTATCAGCCCAAAATGGATGCTCATTTAAAAACATCATTTTTATTGATTTTCTTAGTTTCTCAAATGTGGGTACATCTTTACCAAAATGTTTCCTCATTATTGCATAATCATATTCTTCTGTATCGGAAATTAAAAAGTCCAACAACAAGTGTGTAATAATAACAATACTTCTTTCTACTAAAGTTAAGTTGTATAACCTTTGTCTACCTGGTGTAGGATACAAAATGGGATGTACTGGAGCACCCATATTGTTATATTGTAAAGCGACCGTACCTAATGAACTTAATTGAATGACAGGAGCATCAAATTTATGCACTATTCCTAAGAGGGGGCGATTGCAAGCTTCAAGTAATATTAAATCGAAGTACTTTCTGTCTTTATCTATTATTTCTTTTAGTTCTGGGAGTTCCATTTGTTTATCCAAAACGTTAGCAAACGTTTTTAGTAGAATTTTAATATTAAAAATGAAATCATCCCTTCGCCCTCGTTGGAATATGAACAACTTTTCCCATTCTTTGTAGGACACAGCGTGTGTGTTAATTTCTGTTAAATTTTGAGGTCTATCACATTTTGAGTACGCAGGATCGGGTGTGACCACAATGATTTCATGGCCCCGTTTTGCGAGTTCCTTCGTAATTGGTCTGAACACTATTTGATGGCTGATAGAAGGCGTAGGAAAGAATGCTAATATCCGAGCAGCTTCAATTACAGCAAATTTTAATAAAAATAACAACAATATTTTTTGCATGTTTAACATGATTTTTAAAAGTCTTCGTCTTGACTGAAAAACGTTGGAAAACAAGAGTATGGAAGTATTTATATACATAAACATATATTTATATATTTATTATAATAATTAATATATTTTAAATAATGTTAGTATTTCTCACGCATGAAACCTCTTTTTTTGTGAATGACATTTTTATCAGGAAAAATTGTCGAGAGTTTAACTTTATTACTCTATTATTGATGGAATTAAAAATTGGAAAGTCAAATTATAAATTTCATTTTATTTATTATTTTTAAGTCATAATATTTCTAATAAAAAAATATAAATGTGATATCACTGAAATTAAAACAAAAATATTAAAAACTGTACGAATATTGGTCTAAAGCAATAGGTATAGACTTGATTCAAAATATTGATAGGAATATACACCAACGAAACTTAAAATTACATTCAAATAAGATAAACAATATATTTATTACTAACATATAACTAATTAATAATACATTCAATGAACTGTGACTCAATAAATAATAAACTAATTCAGCTAAAAAGAGCACCCTTTTTTTCATGTACGTATTCTCACACCTTACTCATATAAAAAGCTTTAAGTTTTGCATCAAATCTTCAAGGGTATTGTTAAATTTTATGATTAGAAATTTTGGTATGACGTTTTCTTGACATAAAGTATGAAATGGTTTCCATATTTTTGTATTTATAATAGAAATTTTTAATTTTTTTATTATTACGGACGTCAAAAAGTATTTGATATTTTTTAACTAAAATTAATTTATGTGTTTAATTCTATGTAAACAAAAAAAGAAAAAAAATATTTGAAGATCAAAACTTTACAGAGTACTTACGCTCAATAATTTCTTTTTGATTGTTTTAATCAGTGGAAAAAATACCACTCTAATGAAATATTAATTTTTTAACTAGGCGCATAGCAACATTTTGTGAATCATTAGCTAGAAATGTTAAAAAATACTCACTTATAACCGTTTCTTGTTCATGTTCCCCATATTATTATCTTATGGATAATATGAAATATACGGATATATACGGATATTTTCTGCTCTGTACAAGTAGGGCAAAATTGTGAGTTTATATATCACTAATTTGTCACTACCTGGAGACATTCAAACTTTAGTCATATGTATAAGAGAAAGAGCATGAACATTTAAGTGACGACGGTATTATAATCTGTAAATTACAAGTGATAAGGAAAGGTATGTAGAATTGTGTTCATTAGAAATGGTTGAACTCTCAAGAAAATAGCTTTGTTACATTACGGTTTCAGAAGACTGGCGTACCATAACATCATTAAATAAGATTTTAATTAAAGTATTGCAATATCATGTTTTATACGTAAATAGAAGAATAGGAAATTATCGCCAGGCCAAACTTTATATTTGAACTCTTGACTTGACTTATTTTGGCCTAAATTTATCCTTTTTAAAAATAAAAATAAAAAATTGTCCAAATCAAAGAAGTTATGGTTTTTTCTCTCTCCCAACAACTTTAATGTTTACATTGCGGAGACAGTTTATTCTTCAAAAAATTTACTAACAAATGTACTTTTTGATAAATATTCAATTAAAATAAAATCCTAATTAAATATGTAATTCATTACATAATAATTAAGTCATATTTTTTTGTTGCATATATGTTTTGGAGTGTAAATAATAATGACTGATTTAAATAACTTAATGCCAATATACCAACAATTGTATTAATCGCCCCCCGGTATAAAATTTTTAAAACGTGATACCTAATCTTTATAAATTCAAACCATTAAAGGTCAGGTTCACTATGATAGAGAATTTTGTTAATTAAAATGTTTTTTTTTTTTTAAGAAAAAATAATTATTACTCAAGTAAAACAAAACTGATTGATGTCAATATTGATGAATTTGACAAGTTATATGTTGGAAAATAGTATAAAAGCTTATTTTGAAAATAATCTACATTACTATTTCTGCTATGAGTGTAACTGCATATGACCATGTTTGCATGGATATCATATTTTATTTTCTACCGTAACTTTTTTAAAAGATATTGTCGTAAGTAAATGTTACGTAGAATTAATTGTTTTGCCGTACTTATTTGATATGATTATTTTTTCCTTTTTTTGATAAGTTGGGCCTCGTTAAGATAAAAATAATGTCGATCAGACCATACAATCGATTAAAAATACGGATGTACTGAGTCAGATTAAAATTAATATTTCGTTTTACATCACTTCGGGGAATTTTCTGTCAAATAATATCTTCTATATATATAAAAATGGATTGCTGTTCCTTAGTCTCGCTAAAACTCAGAACAGCTGAACGGATTTATTTTATCTTAGTCTTGAAATGTTCGTGGAGGTTCAGGGAAGGTATAAAAGCTGAAAAAAATTGATTCATTACTGGGAAAACCATAAAAACAGCCCTTTTCTATTTCCCATACAAACGTTTTTTTGACATTAGATTTGACAACTAACTAATATGTCAATCATTCTCAACAACCAATCAATCAAAACAACGAGATTTATGGCTTACAGGTAAACTCCAAAAATATAAATAAAAAAACGTAATAGATATTTCTTGATTATAGGGCGATACGAAGTTCGCCAGGTCTTCTAGTATTATATATAAACTGCGGAGATTTATAACAAATTTTTATAAAAACTATACGTACTCCTTACAGGTTATTTCTGTTTAAATAAGTTCAGGTCATGTGAAAGTCAGTTACACGCGTACTTTCAAGTCAAGATTGATTTAAAAGCGACACTATATAATTAAAGTGCCACAACAAAGTTAAATTACATTTATATGCCTTATTATATTTTAAGGTAGTAGGGACGAAGTTACACAAAAAAACAGGGTAGACTAATTAGTTTCGTAAGTATGTTTGAATGTTGTTTGTTTGTTGGTCTTTCACACAAAAAAAATTACTTAACAGGTTTTGAATAAAGTTTACAATAATGAAGCTTCTACATTAAAATAAAATTCCGCTTAGTTCCCGTAGGATCACGGAAAAAAAATTGTATTGTGAATGAAGTCCTTGGCCCAGATTATAGACGCCGCTTTTGGTTGATTAACATGTCTCTTTTTTGACGCATTTTACAGGGTAAAGTTTACATTTTTCTTTGTGCTGAAAACCAAAATTCATGTGGAAAAAGATGTGTTCAAAAACTATCATATAATATAATAGCTCTGGAAGTATAAAAATGATACAACTTTTGCTTGAAACTAACTTGTTTATAATATATTAGCACAACAATCGAATAAGTACACATGATTTAAAAATGCATATGATTAATAATTAACTCATTAACTATGTTATATGAAATTCATAAAAACATCGCTGTATACTTTTCAAATATTATAGACGTTAAAACTTTAAATAATTTAAAATAAATATAAGGTATGAACAACGTTTAATGGAATGTAACTATTGAATAGCTCGGTTCAGTTTTAGGTTAAAATGATCTCAAAATAAGAAGTAGCCACTAATACTCTTATTCTTGAGCTCCGTCAACCAATATATACGTAGCAGTATTATTAAATAATTTTAGTAATAACAGGAAGTATTAAGGAACAAACGAAAAGTCTTTAAAGTATTGTTATAAAATTTTATATTAAATAATATAAATCTAATTAAGCTTTAACTAGTTTTTCATCCAATAGTATACTTATTGCTATATAATAACAAACGTAGTATCTGTCATCATATTTAATGATACATAACTCATAATGTCATTTGTGATATAAATTTATTTTACAAAATATACTGACTTATATGTAAGTGTATACACTTATCCTAATTATCATTATCAATAAAATGAGATAAATAAACATCATAAATAAATTATCGAAACATGAAATCTTAACTTATGATTTTGATACATGCTTAACACAGAGATAAGTTCCCAAATCAAATCCACGATATAAAAACGAAAATATGATGACTGACATCATATCTCCATCGTAATATATAAAGTGTATCACAGTTAATTACTTTTAACTTTAATTGTCATCCTATACTTATTAGTAACAAATTTTAGTAATAACCTTATTATGTATACTATGGCTGCTAAAATAACTAGTAAAATACTTAAAACTATTGAAACCAGCTTCACTTCATAGTATTCAATCCACGACATATCGGCAGCTGGCGCTGTTAGATGATCTCCTCCATACTTTATAACATGCTCTATCCACCATACAGTAAGATTCAAAGGATCAATTGGATATTCCCTCATTATTCCCCTGAGCCTTAACATGTTGTTTTTGTAACTAAAAATTAAAACATTAATTATTAATATGTCAATTCCTATAAAAATGTACTCATTCCAAAACCTAAATTACCTTTTATCCCCTATCACAGTATTGATAGCATTTTTAAATTCATTTTCTGTTAAAGCAGTAATGTCAAACTGCATTCCAATTTTGTGGTGCGTATATTTTTCTACATTATACCACTGGTCACCTAACATAGGAATACCGATAACAGGCACTGCAGCATCTATAGCTTCATCGGTGGATTGTAATCCACCCTGAGTAATAAATAACTTGACGTTAGGATGTTCTGAAAAGAAAGACATTATAGTAAGCAATATTTTTTTGGCTGTAGCTTATTACTGAACTACGGAAAAATTTCCAGCTTTGTGATTAATGACATTGTATGTATTATCCATGTTGTCAAATATTCTTTAAATAAAAACAAAGTGCCCATAATGAATACTATCTTCATTTTATTTGCTTTCGCTAAAAAGTCGAAATGTTACTATGCTTCTTAATTAGGTGTCCCAGAAATTTGCATTTCTTCAAAACAAAGTTATTTGAATGTATGATAGAAATTACCATTAGTTGTACAATAGAGTTACATTTGATTTGTTTCATAACTATAATTATTTTTTAAATGGAAATGAACTTACTGAGTAAATCGGCTTGTGGAAACCATTTAGAAATTTTGATGTTGCTTGACTGTCCCGGGAGAACATCTTTGTCCCATTTCCATAAAACATCATAGGGTAATTGAGACAAAACATTAGTCATGACTTGGATTTTTTCAGGTGGCAATATTGAAGGTAGAACATTCGTACCAAAACTGATATATATAACACCATGTTTTGAGGAGTCCAAATATTGTTTAAGGTCCTGAAAATTAATCAGGTTGGTATAAAAAATAAGGTTGAAGTACATAATTAAACTCATATCACTATTTCAACTAAGAATATATTATTTCTAATTTTATCTCATCTTACTTTAGGTAGTTCCTTAACTGGGGGAAGATGAACACCGCCCATGTAAATAATATTTGGAGGTACAGGATGGTTATCAGCCCAAAATGGATGTTCATTTAAAAACATCATTTTTATTGATTTTCTTAGTACCTCAAATGTAGGAACATCTTTACCAAAATGTTTTCTCATTACTGCATAATCAAATTCTTCCGTATCGGCAATCAAAAAGTCCAACAACAAGTGTGCTAATATTTCAACACTTCTTTCCACTAATGATAAATTGTATAACCTTTGTCTTCCTGGTGTTGGATACAAAATGGGGTGTGATGGTGCTCCCATGCTATTATATTGCAAAGCTACTGCTCCAAAAGAACTTAATTGAATAACTGGCGCATCAAATTTGTGCACCATGCCTAAGATGGGACGGTTGCAGGCTTCAAGTAACATTATGTCAAAGTAATTTCTGTCCTTCTTCATAATTTCTTTTAATTCTGGGAGTTCCATTTGCTGATCAAAAATCCTTGCAAAAGTTTCTAAAAGTTTTTTGACGTGAAGAAGTAAATCTTCCTTATGGCCACGATGCAACTCTAACAAGTTTTCCCATTCCTTGTATGATAGATCATGGGTGTCGATTTCAGTCAAATTGTTGGGTGTTTTACCTTTTGGATAAGCTGGATCCGCTGTAATGACAATAACTTCATGGCCTCGTCTTGCAAGTTCTCTTGTAATAGGTCGAAACACTATTTGATGACTGATCGAAGGCGTAGGAAAGAAAGCTAGAATCCTTGCACCTTCAATACTACTAAATGTTATTAGCAACAGAAAAATCAAATTTCGGAGACCTGCCATGATTACTTTATCGTCAAGACTGGTGAAACTTATCAAATCTATCGTAATATATATTTTTAAATTTTGATTTTGCTTGATTACATATCAGTTAAATAATATTCAGAGTATCACATGTTCAAACTACGTAGAAGATAAATATTTTCATCTATGAACACTAAGATTTCATCGTCACGAATCGTATATAGTACTAAAAATGTGTGAAATCAATATTTTTATTGAAAGTTTTGTAGAGAGGTATTTATGAGTCTATGGATATAAGTTAGTTTTTAAGTTTTTCAATGTTTGTGTATTTTTTCCTCATATTTTAAGGAGGAACTCATTAGTCTGAAATCATAACACATTGAATATCTTGTGTTTTCTTAATAACATTGCAGTTAGTTTACTTTTCCTCATATCAAGAAAAGTGACACTAATGACTGGATTGTACTTTACTTCACAGATGTTATATAGAAACGATGTATATGTTTAAATATTAATTAAAATTTTAGGTTCTAAGATAAACGCTTAATATATTATTTACAAAAATATTAAGTAAGGTATATGATTTTATTTAAATAAGTATTGATTTAAAATAATAATATTATTTCTTATATCAAATCACGACAAACTTTAATTATGAACTAGATATTGAATTTTATTACTGTTAGTGAAACGTTTTGATGTAAGAATTTATTTATGTGTCTATTTCCGACTTATAATTCCGACTAAAATATTATTTTTTATGTAACTTAAGGACGAATTTATTGCAATAGTTTTTTCCTAGGTATCGTATTCAAAATTAATGTTTAATAGAGTGTCTATCTGTAAATCCATTCATATTTTTATATCATATAACAGTTCGAAGAGCTGTGTCGTGTTGAAAGTTTGAGAATAATAATTTTATAATCAAAGTAGAATTGAGGAATTGATTTAATTTTATAATCTTTACAAGATAACCTAATGCGATAAAAGATTTCCAAATCTTTGCCTCTTCCGTGATTATTGAGATAAAAACAATATTATCTATTTATCATGTAAATCATAATAACATATTTATTACCTAACGAATGATTTGACGCGAAATTTATATTGTGATAACAAAAATTGCGCAATTTATTTCATTTATCCATTTTCAAATCCGTCCAGTTCAAACACTGGCGACCTTGAGAAAACCATACGAGGTTAAAATTAACATTGACTACGTGTGCGAAAAATTAACGAGTTACTTCAACGCTAACCGAGTCCGATTTATTCATTTATACTCGTAATAGTAATCTTCCCAGATGCTCCCATCATGATTACAATAAGACATAAAGTGACGGCATTACTTAAAGTGTATGTAAGGATTTTTATCACCTCTAAGAAGATTTCATTCACCTTGACTCCAACTTTTCCGAATGTATCATTAGAATACTCTGACCGTCATCATTTATTAGATATTGAGGTACACCCGAACCTTAATTTTTGTGGTTTATTAATTCCGATGCTAACTCAAGTGAAAGGAAACTCTACGTCCTTGCAAAAGTGTGCCAGTAACTACTTTACGCCGAAACAGTTTAACTTGTTTATAATAAAGCACAGATGCGGTCATGTATGGAATATTGCCCTCACATCTAGACAGACGCTGCCAGATATCACCTCATTAGCTTGGGCACAGTGGTTAAATCCAATTTAATTAGAGCACAGGCAAAAGTTGCCTAGTCTCTAGGTATTCTACAGAATATATACATACAATAGTTTGCCTAGAAATTAAACACTATATCTCACAAGCCATTTCTATCATCGGTGGTTGGTGGTTGGTGGTGGTCGGTGGTGACAAAAGGTTTAGAATAGTATGACTGCCTCTATATTTCCTTCGAATTAAGAGGTTGTTGACGTCAATAAAAGGGTGAATAAACTGTTACTCAAATAGTGCGTTAAACCTACAACTTTATTTCCACCTCCCACATGTTGAATGACAGTCTAGCACCATCCAGTCGAAATTAAAAAAAAACGTAATAATTACAGCTTAAACCTGGCAGAGCGAAAACTTATTTACATAAAATGGCTAACCACCTAAATATATTCATTCTTACTCAACAACACATATTTTCAGAAGCTAATAATTTTCACAAGACTTCATCATCATCATCGTCATCAGCTTATTAGATCCCACTGCTGACCCTCTTCTCACATGGAGAATGTTTGAGCATTAATCACCACACTTGAAGAAGTGTTGGTGATTTCAAACTTATAATTTGAAATTATAAGTTCGCGTTTCCTCAAGATGTTTTCTTTCATCGTCTGTCAGTCGTGTTTAAATACTCTTAGAAAGTACATAGGACTCGGAAAAATCACATTGCTGTTTGCCAGGTTTCACCTCGCACCCTCATGCACAAGAGGCGGGCCATTAACCTGTTGGCCACCATGACCTTATATCGAGACTTATTCACCATTAAATATTTGTATATATATAGTGGGTTTTTGAAAACCGCAACCCGAGATACTGTGATGTGCTATTCTATATATAAATATACCGAAAATTTTACTTTAAATACATCGAGACACTTAATCATTAATTTAGAAACTATACTTGTATTCATTTAGTCATAAGATGTTCACTACAGAGAGATGAAACAAGTATTGTGAGAGCCCAGCGTCTGAGATAAATAATAAATCTCTAAAGTCACCGACTTTATTGAAAACTAATTATTATAATATTTTTATATTACATGCATATTCCCAATATTAAAAGTTTCACCCAGTCCGATCTGTGTCTACTTTATACAATGTCGGGGTGTGAAAAAGGAAAGTATGTTCCCGTAATGCAAAGTAATTAATAATTAGTAAAACAACTAGGTCATCACATTTAATCATAACCGAGGTGGTGTCAAAAAAGCTATTGAAATGTCATAAATGATAAGTTGAATGAATAATCTGAGTTTTCTTTTTAGTTTAATAATTTAAAAAGAATCCGTCTTTCAAATACTGAATTTATATTGTCGTTTTTTTTTTTTGGTCCCTTTAGTAAATTTATATATAAATACATTAAAGCTAATATAATTAAGTTGTAATACATTGTCTAACCTTTATATAGAAATAGTATTAGTTTCACATTTTTATACTGTATACCTCTCCTATCTTTGCCGTTAATTTAATTTTTGTTGTTTAGATCTACTTACAAAGTTCCTAATAGTGACTTCAGGGAAGCTGTTAAATGTTGTTACATTTCTAAGTTAATCCCGGATCTTGTCTCCTCCATTATACAAAACACGTGCAGAATATACTAAGTAGATTTTTGCTCGAATGAGGGACATATTTTAAACAATCTAACAACCAATATAAAAAGTATTATACTGACAGCGGCGATATTGATAGCGTGATTTTATTTGATGATTAATTCATTTATAATGACAGTGTTGTACCCAACTGGTACTTTGGCCAAAGTAGCTGTTTAATGTCCTGTAATTAAATATGAATGATATGCCATTTCGATTTACCGCCTTCCGTGGCTCAATATAATATTATAATAAAAAGAAAAAAGAAAACTTATATCATTGTCACGACTATACATGTACTATTAGATATTTGTATCAAACGAATATAATATAAATGTTTTATATAATATTTCGTATTATTAATGATTTTGTTGCTTGTAATACATGTAGACTGAATTCTTCTTTTTATGTCTTTTCTTTTCTTTAGTAAGTTATTAAATTCTTAATTTAATTTATTATTAAAGTCCTTTGTATTCAGTTTTAAATTTAATGTGAGCTGACGTTGTGATGATAGCGTATTTACTATCACTAATATATTTTATCGACCCGTCTTGAGTAAGCGTGGTGATTAATACTCTAACCTTCTCCATGTGAGAAGAGGCCTTTGCTCAGCAGTGGGCTCTGATAGGCCGATGAACGAATATGTTTTATATGTACTTTCGAGATGTCGAGAATGTACATATGTCGATAAAAAAGTTGTTGTTCTCTCTAAAAGCCGGACCTCAGCTTAAGCCGTCGTTGAAAGGGAGAATAGCATCGGATGATGGGACTGCATAATGCCCTCGACGGCAGAACGCCGGAGCGACAGGTATAAATCGAGACGTCCGCGTCGTCTTCACCGCCAAAAGCAGTATGTGTGTATATGTAGTTTCGGTGTGTCTTGTGGAAGTTTGTGTCTTTACTGTCGTTTATATTTTTATTGTCAGAGTTTAGTAGGAGTGTCTGGGATGGATAATTCTAATTACGAATTGCCATTGGCTTGAATCGCGCCATCAGTAAAGAAATGTATTCCTTTATCAAGTAAATACAGTTAGTTTAAATACAAAACGAGTGTATTTATGTACGTCATTGATTTTATATTTATCTCGTGGAAATTTTAAAGAAGTAAAGTGCTGAAATTAAACAATAACATAGGAATATGAAATTTGGCCACAAGTTAATCAAAGTTTAGAAATAAGGAGTTATTAATGAAAATAATATATAAATTTCAAGAAACTATTATAATTATACAAGAAACATTTTGGCACAAGGAATAAAGATTTATATAATTTGGCAACTAAATATAATTTCAAGAGCATTTGATTGCGATATTCACGTTCATTTTAAAAAACTGTAGGGTGCTTAAAATCAATTAGCAGCATAACCTCGCTTTTTAAAGTTGTTGACTTACATCTTCGTTAACTGAAAAAATATTTTTGTTACGATTTTCTTTGAACTTTTATAAGATAATATTTATTAAACAAGTTAAAACAAATATAAAACAACAGGATATTAAAAGTATAGCGTATGTAGCTTATTGATATATATAAAAAAGTTTATTATAAAATTTGTAACATATTAATGAGATCTAAGACTTTCGCGAGTAATCATTTAAATGTAACTAATATTATTCGGTATACTATTCGTATTTTACTTATTTAAAAAACTATATACTCCTGACGTTTCGGTTACTTTTCCGCAACTGTGATCACGGGCAGACAAGATGTAATAAAATACGCGTATACGTAGTAAACTGAATAATATAAGTTTTGTTTTAACATATTCTCAGTACTTTGATGCCTTGTAATATAATTAATACAACTAATATTTTCGGATATACTTTTATAGTTATTTTCAACCACATACATTACATTTTCAACCTAGGGAACGTTTCAGTAACCTTGCAGCAACTGTGATCATGGGCAGACGAGTCATTGCTAAAAATAATTATAAAGCCCAAAACTATTAGTTTTTTTTTTGTAATGAATACTCGCGAAAATGGTAAATCACATTAATCTCATCTTTCATTTCAGTTTCTTTGAAATAAATAAACATTTGACAAAACTGTTCGGACTAGGTATGCCTAATTTTGTAGTTAGGAACGAGCGATGTAAATTTTACTATTATTTCTATTTATTTACCTTACCTTAACTTATGTTTAGTTTTACGCTTCTTATATTTTTCTATAACACTAAGTAACAAAACGTAAAAATTTAATAGGTTTTTCATAATGCTTGAAGTTTTATTTCAGTACGAATTCATAGGAGAAACATTCATTTGCCTTCTCTGACATGGCCTTTTTCATAGCTCAACACAAATACAGCCCTTATCTGTTTTTGTTCTTATTAAACTTTCATAAAAGACAATTACTATGTACGAGCATAGGTTTGTCTGCAGTATATTTGATGTACTTCCCAAGCAATGTAACAGTAAAGCTTTGCTTATAATCAAAAACATGTTAAATAATACTTTAATTACTTGAAGAAAATGCAAAGAAAATACAAAGAAATTGTTTATTTTATAAAAATAAAAATGTTAAAATATAATTTCAATATAAAACAGGTCTAAATATGTGTTTCAGCTTAAGATAAATTGCCTTTTCATCAATCCATTCTCTTAGGGCAGACACTTTTGCATACACTCCAGGATATTTTGGTCTAGCACAACCTAGACCCCATGAAACAACACCAGCTAGTTTTTCGTTGTACACTAGAGGACCGCCACTGTCACCCTTTAAAATTAAAATAAAAAATGTTTACTATAGTTATTTGCATAAATTATTAGGGAGTTTATTATTTTATGTTCTATGGAACTTATCTATACAGATGTTTGTTACCTGACACGCATCTTTTCCACCTTCAGGTGCGCCCGCGCATAACATTCTGGGTGTTATATTATACGACGGAGCATAGGCGTTTGAACAAGCAGCAGCACTTACTTTTGGTACTAACACCATTTGCAATGTTTTTGGAGTTCCACCGTTTTCCTAATTTAAAAATGATATTAAGTATTATTCTACAAATACTATTCGGTGGAAAAAGTAAGGGTATAAGGATGGAATCAAGTAATCTAGTTTTTATTAACCTTTATATATTAGTTATGTAGTTTTTATACAATATTTCAATTAAGCCATCTCTTGCTTGAGGGTCTACAGATAAAAACCATCTATAAATGGATTTATTTATAATTAACTCGTGTTTTCTTTAAGATAAATAAAAAGTCATATAAATGTAACAAAAGTCATACTTGACTTTGTAATATTACGCAAAAATGAAACTAATATAATCATTAACATGTTAAAACTATAATTCTTAATATGAAACATAGCACTTACCCTAAGATTACCCCAGCCGGTAACAACTGTCAACTCTCCATCATCAATTTCTTCGTCTTCATCAGACATTATAATTGGGGCAATACTGGGTCCAAACTCCAATGGCTTTGACAACCAAATTAACCCAACGTCACTATCCATGTTATGGAAGGTGAAGTCACGATTGTACACATATTCACCAACTGGTACAACTACGCCACCTTCACGATTTGATGATGAACCAGCTCTTACTTGTAAATTTCGTTTGTTAACTCTTAAATCAGAATAAAAATCATTAAATCCATAATAGATACATGTGAAGTCTAAATTGAATTTATAAATGACAAGTAGAAGCTTCAATCATTCTAAAACATTAAATAATTTAATTTAAAGACAGTATAAATTTCACTAATTTATTATCACTGAAAGAAATCAGAATAAGAAGCTCTTTACCCAAGTAAACAATGTGCAGCAGTCAGTATGAGATCATTGTCAATAATGGAACCACCGCAAAAGTGTCTTCCCCGGTTCAGTAATGAAACTTGATAAGGCGCTACCGTTATATCTATATCTTCTCCGCCTACAATCCTTGCATCATCTACGTATGGTTTTGATACTGCAAAATAAATATGAGTGAATAATTATAAAGGTTCAATTTTTTACTATTCATTAAAAGTTTAATCTTAAATATTATTTATATTTATTTACCCACGTATCCAATAATAGCGAGTAATAAAATAAGTTTAAACATGGTGTATTAGACACAATTAAAAGTGGCTATTGTAGATAATTGCATTTATACCTGAGAATTACAAAAGAAGGATTATTGGGTCAACACAATTATCAAACGCCTGATAAAAGCGAACCTTCACACCAATTCATATAAGATAGATAAGGATTATATTTGAGATTAAAATTTAATTGATTTAAGTAAGTGCTTATAAAATTAACACGAGATCGTTGTAATGCTCACAAAGAAAACATATGAATTATATTTCTTATGATGTTTGGTTTCTATTCTTGTTTTATGTAAAGTTATAGTAACAACGTAAAATACTTTAAGTTTTATCTAAAATACAACAAGAAGCCAGGATTTGTCATTTACATTTTAATATTTATAATAAGAATTTATGATGCTTTTGTTATAATTTACATTTTATTGCTCCCAATGTATTTATTTTTCATAATTTTCTTTAAAACAATATATAAATATTAAGTTATTGACTGTTACGTATCAGATTTTCTATTTGTTATCGGTCGAAAGATGACTTTTTCATTAATAACCATGTTGAAGATGTAGCACGTGTTGCAATTAGTTTATCACAACTATGATAGTAATTTATGTCAAGGTATGATAATTGCTTGGTTAAATTTACGCAATGTCAAAAAAAAATTAAACCACCCATAATTTATGTATGAATGAAACTTAAAGTAAATAAAGAATTTTTGTTCTCAAACCCAATGATAGTTTCTTAGTCATGAAAATTATTAAGACTTTTTAAATGTAAGATTTGACATGATTAATTAAAACGAATTTGACCTTGTTTGGGAAAGTAAATCAGCATACTGCACTTAAATATTGAAATTTTTCTTAACATATAAGTTAGATGTAGTTTTTTCTTCTAGTTGTACATTAAAGATAATCATTATTAAATGACCATAGACTTTGTTTATTAGTTATTGTTATAATTTTTGGAGCTTTATGATTGTGTTTTAAATAAATAATTTAACGTTTAATATAAGGTAAGTCATTTGATATCATAGAAATTGCAAGTGTTTTCATATAAAATATCTCAAAGAGTATTTGATACTTATTTTATAAAAATATTTCTACCTACAGTTCTAAAATCAACTACAAATAACTAAAACAATATTTTTAATAAAATACCGACTGACGATCTTATTACAACCAAACAGACAGATGTAATGTATTATATAAATATATTTATTGAAATGATGACTATAGAAATAAAGTATATTTATTATATTTAGTCTTACACCACTTAGTTTATTTTTTAAGATCCAAAATAAATGAATATCCAAAATATGACTTATTACGTTTTAATTCTGAGCAAATTTTCACATTAAGTATCAAATCATAGAAATATAAAATTATTTGGTCTGATACACCCCAGTTCATCTCAAAGAAATTAAAAACGTTAATCCTATTTACTGCTTGATTGATCTCCCGATTTAAAAATATAGTGTTTTTAGAGTAAAAAATCACACCGTGTCTACATAATTTTTATCAAATTTATATTTTGCTATATTTTTACAATATAATATGATTCTTTTTCTAGATAATATAAACGTTCAAAAAACAATCTCTGCTAATATTATACATGCGAAAGTAACTGTGTCCGTCTGTCTGTTCCGTTTGAACGCCTAAACCAATCAACTAATTTTGATTAATTTTTGGCGTATGGAACTCTGGAAAAGACCACAAGCTACTTTTAATGATATCTCTAATATCAATCCCGTCCGCAAAACTACTCGGGTGGAACTATGAAGTGTAGTCTGTAGTAAAAAAGTGTAGTTTGTAGTAGAAGGCGTTAGTTAAACGAACACTCCCACTACGGCCTCGGGGTGTACTTATCATTGTCACGCGCGAACGGGATACTTGCGAGTGGAGGCAGCAAGGAATGGAGGACGATATTTACCATGTTTACCTACAACGGGCAAAGGAGTGAGGACAAACAACCGATGCGATATTTAATTGCAACTATTTTACTTTGTGTTTCTTAATATTGTTTTCTATCATAAATGTATACATATGTATTTATGTTTTTTTATTTTTATTTTTTCGCCGAACGGAGAAAGTGAAAGATATTATAACTCATATTTAATAGTCGCTGTTGTGATTTGTGGCAAACTGTTTGCTTCCCGTATAGTTATGTTTACCTGAGACACATTGATTAGAGTGCCTGATAATCTTAAATTGTAATTTAATCACTCAAATTTAGCAAAAAACAAGAAAGGTTTTACTTTCAATACCTAAAAATCAATCCTATAACTGGGGTTGCTCTGTTGAGAAAAAAATGAAATCTTTTTTGGATTTTTATTTAAATTAACTTACTTAGAGAGAGAAGAGCTGGGACGGTGGAGGCGAGCGTTTCACGGGCGTTAAATAGGCGTCTCTTAAATCTATACCTGGAGGCAAATCCTAAGCATTATGAAAGCTCCTCTCCATGCAACGCTATGAACCCGGCACTCGCATGGTGAATTCAAAGAATACTCGAAAGTTCTCATGCACAATACAGAAGACTACCAAATCAGTTCTTTGTTTCTATTTACGTTAAAATCTAAAGCTAAAGTCAACGATTCATATAAAATTTTATAAATTATCAAGATGCTAAAGCAAACGACTCTAACGTGAATAATAATGATATATGCAAAATGGTTATTTTACCATCTTCATTTACAAACAATCCAAGATATTTTCATGAATGTATTGAGGAAGTTTTTGGGTCTGTACGTACATATGATCCAACCGATTACTCCTAACTATTACGTGCACTCTTACTAATTAATGCAATCGATCAACATGATATAGTTGCAAGAGTTTTTAGCTTGAAAAAATGATGGCTGTTATTACTAAACGTAGAGGATTCGGAGGACAGCTTTGCTTTTTGTTTTTGATAGAGTGATAGAAGCGTGGCCACATCTCTGGAACATATCCACATTTTAATTTTTCTAAAATACTCACAGAATACAAATAAGAATATAATAAAATAAAATGGGCAAATAAATTCCGAATTTCATAGTTTTTTGTCAAATAAGCTGAATTTCGTTAAAAGTTAAAAAGGCGTTAGCATACGAGTACAGTTATAGGGTATAGTTAAATAGAAATAGCAAAAGTAGTTGTAGATTTATTATCAGTAATAATGAGAGTGTTTACTTTTATAAAATTATTTATAATAAAAACTTAAAATTTTATTGTTAGTAAATTGAGATACAAAAAAGGAAAAATAAATTGGTTTATCTATGTATATATTCGGGGGAGTTTTCAACATACTGTCAACAACTTAGCTAAGTGTCGTTCATGTTCTTTTGCTCGCTGAATTTTGTAAGGGGAAGGTATTTAGCTTGTCAAAGATGTCTTATAGCAACAAAATGTTATTTTTAAGTAAAACTAACAATTTCAAAAAATCCTAAGAACTAAAAAGCAAAAAATATTTTATCACTTCAATTCTACTTCCTAACCTAACCTATCTACATATCTATATCTTGACAGTTATAACTTATAACTCGAGATCAGCTAGACCAATTTTCATGGTTTTTGTTGCGTTGGATTTGTCTCCACCCCGAATAGTAGAATAAATCTTAAAAAAGAAAACTCGATGAAAACATGTAAAGGATCGAACCCGGGTTCCCAGCCTCCCAGGATCGATCGAATCGAATACTAATGGACATGCCTTAGAGATGAGAATTGTGGCACTCCGAAAGAAAGAGAGGAAATGAAGTTTCGGTATATCTCTCTCAAACTATGTAGTACCGTACTGATTGAGCGCCAAACATCTATGAGGAGAGAGAGAGTGCTAGACCAAAAGCATAGGCCATCTCTCTCACTCTTTTCAAACCAAAAAATTACTGCAGTAACTATGTAATTTGGACTAATTTGGACGGATAATTATCTGTCGTCATTTTAAATCTAGCACCTACGTAGTCGTATTAACTGATTATAAACATTATCCTACTATCAAAAGATAGTGTTTACATGACAATGAATTTAAGATTAACTATTTTTACTCAGGTTTTTTAATATCACATATTGAATATATTTGTCGTCTTAAAAGAAAGACGAAGAAATTTCTGAAATGTATTCAAGGTATTTTTTAATTTGTTATCTTTGTGTGTAAATTCGTTAAAATAATTTTTGGTACATAATCTTTTATAAGTATTAAATACATATTCCTATACTTTTTGTAATCATTTAGAGATCATTAATAACACCTAGTGTATCATATTATAAAATAACTAAAGTTAATATTTTTATGGGAAAAGGGGGCAACCGAGCAGACGGCCTACCTAATGAAGGTAGTACCGTCGCCCATGAGTATCAGCAACGTAGATTTGCGAATGTGTTGCCGCCCTTGATTGGGGAAAAGGCGGAGGAAAGGGAGGGAAATGAAAGGGTGTGAAAAGAAAAAGGGCAATCACCTATATAACTCATTGAACGAAACGCAGCCATTAAAGACTACTTCACGCCGATTTTCTGTGAGAGGGTGGTACTTCTCCGGTCTAGCCAGCCCATGTTCGAGCTGTAGTAACTAGACCTCAGCTAGGCTCTGATTATCTGAATCAAAATTTAATTTGTGACTATCTGAATCAAAATATCTATAACTTTGTGTTAAGTTAATATATCTTGAACTTCTTGATCTCCTATTTGAATTAGCCTTTTTTATTTAATAAATATTAAATTAATATACAAGTTTTACTAATAGCGACGATAACTTATCTCTATAAGTCCAAGTGAAATATATAAGTTTATACCTATAATACCTATGCATAACCCTACCCATGAAAAATTCATTAAACTTGCAAAGCTACTAAACTCTTTTTTTTCGTAATAGAAATACAAAACTTTGAAGATACTTTTTGAATGGTAATCCATTAGATAAAATAAATTAATTTTAAATATAAGGAGTCTACTTTCGATTAATTTTTAGTTCCTTAAAATATTATTATTTATAAGAGAGTCATTCAAAAATAAACTTCAAATTGACCATCACTGCAAGTAAAAGTATGAAA